TCCTGCTTTATCTTGGGTACCCTCGGGTAGACCTTGGATAAAAAACATCCCCCTCCCAGCATAAGAGTTCATAATAGGGTCGTAAATCAAGGCCCATCACGCAGGGGATGCTTATTCAGGAGGGGTCTCCATGCCTAAACCCTAAACCCTAAACCCCTGAGTCTCCATTACTTGGGACCCTTTTGGGGTTTGTGACTACCCTCAGGATCCAAAGTAGTTCCTTTTGGGGTTCATATTTAGAATCTTATGAGGTAATCCCAAAAAGTACCATGGGGCCTCTGGGTTTAGGGGGCTTTAGGGTTTAGGGTGTAGAGTGTACGGTTCAGGGTTCAGGGCTTAGACGTTTAGAGTTTAGGGTTCAGTAGGGTTCCTTTAAAGGGTACTATAAGAGTTCCTTTAAGGGATCTGTAGGGTTCAGGGAGGCCTCTGGGTAATGACTGCCAGGCCTGGCGCTTCGTCGCGGTCGCGGATGCCTTGGTCGGAGGGACCCTTTTTTTTGCGGTTCTTTAGATCGGGACTAGGTTTCGGCGGTGTGTAGGGCTCCTTAGAGGGATTCTTTAAGGGATCTCTAAGAGATCTATAGGCATTAGTTAGGGGTTTTAGTGAACTTAGATGTTCAGGGGACGTAGTGAGCAGGGTTATCAGTGTGGTAACCACATTTATATCTAAGTACTCAGAACCGCAGTTAATGGACTCGCTACCCGACTTCATAAGTCCCCTGATGCCTGGACTGGATGTCCGACGTCCTCCGCAGCTTAGACCACAAACCCCGATTTGCATTGAAACCCTTTAACCCGGCAAGGCCCCCTGGATCCATGAGTCATCAGTGGTGTAGTCTAGGGTAGTTGGAGGGTCAATGGGCTTAGGGCAGACATGCACAGGGTTCGGGTCCATTGATTTAGGGCTTTTGGCTTAGAGTTTTATGACAAACCAGGTTGCATCTCCACACAGGCACAGAACCGAGAGAGGCTAGCCATGGTCTTCTCTGAATTCTGGACACCCCAGACCTTCCAAAATCCCTTAATTAAGGAATATACCTTAAATTATAGTAGGGTCCCTAATGTGATTTAAGGTATATTCCTTAATTAAAGGATTTTGGAAGGTCTGGGACCATACACCCAGCCCCTAAAACCCACAATGCAACAAAGGCCTCGCAGCATAACCCCCCCAAATCCAAGACCTAAAGCCCGCAAAGCAATCTGCCCTAAAACAGCCGTCGACACAAATTACGGTTGCGAGAGGACATGGGGCAAGAATCCGAGCTCTATGTTTTTTCAAGTTAGGGTCTAGCTTTTCGGGTATTTGGATTCAGGACGTAGCAGACTTAGAGGGGATCTGGGGCTTTCCACATCGCCGCCTGCAGAAGGGCCATGCGGCTCCAATGAGGCCCTGGACATGAAAAAATCCCAAGGCAGCATTACCTATATTTTTTTTGGGAGGGGTTCCTGATCATAATTATAACATAACCGGGGCAGCCCTACCCAGAGTAACCAAGGTACCTTAACAAGTCTAAATGTAAAACTTTTTTGGGGTCATATCCTGCGTTTAAAGGTATTTGGCTAATCATTCGAGGTACACCTTATACAGCCCTAAACGCTACCGGAGCCCACGAGTCCCAAACAACCCTTAGCCCTAAACCCTCGACCTCAAACCCTGAGCTCCTAACCCTTACCTTTGGTCAGTAAGGAATGGAAGAATGATAGTACTAGTAAAGTATGATAGTACCCATTCCTTCATTCCCTACTAACCAAAGGTAAGAACCTGGCACCTAAACTCAACTGTAGAGTTTAGGTTTTCCTCCCAGATTTCCTGCCATGGTGCATGCTGCGGCCGAGAGACATCCGTACGGGCCTTGGCGCTTGCGGCCCGACATTCGGGGCTACCCAGAGAGCCCAATACCCCTTAATTAAGGAATATATGGCTTAAATCATAATATGAAGCCCTATATAATTTAAGCCATATTCCTTAATTACGGGGGTATTGGGCTCTCTGGCTAAAGCTACGACCACGAAGCTCTGGGGTTAGCTAGGTGAGCATATTATTATCAAGCCCCTGTCCAGGAGCCAAAACTTCTTGTTCTTGGAGCTTCGGCTTTCTAGCTGAGCAGGTAATCTTTAACCTTTTGAAGTTTGCATGCCCCTACCATGATTGAGCTAGGATGCTCAGCCCCTAAGTCGGCTTATGGCGACAAGGCATGTGTTCATAAACCCTGAACCCTAAACTCTAAACCCTCCTCAACCCTAAACCCTGTTTTGGGCTGGGGGCATGATTGTATATAGTGCTTGAGCAGTTAGGCGAGGAACCTCGCTCTACCTCAAATTAGCCTGCAAGCAACGCTCCCTTAGCCCAAACCCTCAGACCTAAAGCCTAAGACGTCCATGCTGTTTGTACTTAGGGTTGATGGCTTGCCCTAAGATGTTGCAGCCCAGGTTGTGGAATGCTTTCAGTGTAAAACAGAACTCAGGGATCCTTGTGCAGAACTGCTTCTGGGAGTTTACGGGGTCGCAGCAGGCTAACAGCGCAGCATCAACACTTGCGACTAGGCTTTGCACCGGGATGTGTAGGTGTCTCAGCATATAAGAGACCCCACAATAGAACCCTAAACAGTATGATCCTGGAAAGAAAAGACCCCGAATTCAGGTAGCCCCGATTCAGAAACCCATGTCAAACCCTTAGCTAAGCTATAAGAGGGTCTGACTATATTCGCATAGGCTCGAATATCCCGATTCTAGGCTCCATGATGAAGGATGCCTTTGGGTCATTGAGCACCAAATCGCTCATGTCGGAACCGAAGTATGCAAGCCTTCTTCCCCCGCCACCCAGGCATACGAAGCCGGATATAGATAAACGGTCCTGCTTAAAAGCTCATGGGACGGATGCCTCTGCACTTCATGGACTGTTGCTGAGTCTTTGGGTATGGTGTTTTTTTCGGGTACATCTGTACATCCCAGATCGAGAGTTTAGAGCGACGGGCCGTGAACCCACATGTGTGATATCCGCGGATCCCGCACTAAAGGTATGTACCCCCAAGGGTCCAAGTTCATAATAATCATATACACTCCAAAATCGTAACCTACATAACTACTATCCTGAAAGCGAGTACCTAACTATTGGGTCCTTTGGGTCCATGGGGTAAGAGCCGGCAGTTTGGGGATCCATGCAAAGCCCTGAGCTCGAGAGAAGGAGTCCTGAAAGGAGTCTTACAATGAACAAGACTATGCCCGCCCTAAACCCCAAACCCTAGGGTAGGTAAACTTTAACCTTTTGGAGCTTATTTATCGTTAACCCTGTTATGATTTAATGTTAACATTTTGGCGGGGGGGGGGGGGGGGGGGGGGGGGGGGGGGGGGGGGGCTAGGATAGTCAGACTTCTCAGAAACCCTAACCACTAAACCAGCCAGGTCAAGCTGACATCCTTGTGAGAGCTCGCCAGGCGACGACGGGGATTGTCTGTGCTCCATGCTGTAGGTTGTCGGTGATTACCTTAAGCTACCACAACTTAGTTTACAGCTGGTGTCTCATCATAAACTGCTATGTTCAACCCTAAAGACTTTACCGAGCAAAGAAAATCCGAAGGTTCGAGTCGCATACCCTCAACTACTATAGCCTACAATCTTGCGGGTTCCTTGTTATAAATAGAACATCACCGAATATGACCCAGAATCCGGTGAACGGATAGTTATGGCCTCTGTAACCTTTTAAATTTTATCCCAGACCCTAGACGGTTTTTCGGAACTATGTGAGGAAGGTTGTAAAGGAACCCCATTCCAACTGTTCTTGTCCCAATGTTGCCTCAAACCCTAAACCCTAAAACCCTAAACCCTAAACCGCTTCGCACTACCCAGACCTTCCAAAATCCCTTAATTAAGGAACATACCTTAAATCATATTAGGGACCCTACTATAATTTAAGGTATATTCCTTGATTAAGGGATTTTGGAAGGCCTGGGTACCATAACCATCTTGTTTGCCAGAGCTGACCTCGAGACTGTGATACCCAGAGGCCCCATAGTAGCTCCCTTTAAAGGAACCCTCGCCCGCCCCTTTACGGTTTAGGGTTCAGGGTTTAGGGTTCAGGGTTTAGGGTTTAGGCTTGAGGGTTTAGGGTTTCGGAAACTCCTAAACCTACTTGTCGGGTATCATGGGGACCTAAAGGTCAACATGTTTGGTTATATAGGGATTATATAGGGTCTACCCAACCCCATAGTAGTTCCTTTTTGGGATTACCTCATAAGATTCTCAATACGAACCCCCAAAAGGAACTGCTTTGGGGCCTTCTAAGTACGAAACTTCTCAATACGAACCCCAAAAAGGGAACGACTTTGGCGCCTTCTAAATATGAGCGCCAAAAGGAACTACTTTGGGGCCTTAATTACAGCAGATTGGATATGGCTTCGTTTTACCAGGATGTTACAGTGAACTGAGCCGACTGCAGGGTTCAGGGGGTTTAGGGTTCAGACGGTTTAGGGCTTAGGGACTTTAGGGTTTAGGTGTTTAGGTGTTTAGAGTTGAGGTATTCAGGTAAAGGACCTCGGGTTCAGGGTGTCGGCTGAGACTGCCGAAGCAACCCTAAGGCCCTACTTGGAGGGTCGGGGGACTTAGTAAGCAGTTAGTAAGTATATAGACTTATAAGTACCCTAAAAGGGACCCTAATTGGGGTTATGGTACTTATAAGTCCTTAAAATAACCAGTTACTAAGTCCCCCGACCCTCCAAGTAGGGGGCCGGTACGCCCTACTATTGTGGTTTAGGGCTTAGGGCTTAGGGCGCCCATGCCCTACTGAAGTGGTGGCATTGCAATCTTTCAGACTTGGGGTTTTGGTTTTTTTATAGGATCCTTAAGGGGGGGTGGTTCAAGGGGGGAGGGCACTAGGGAGCTTTTGGGAACCTTAGGGAAGCTTAGAAGGTCCTGATATTCGCACCCTGCACAATCCCTGATTAAGGCCTGGGGATTTATGACTCAGGAGTCTACGTCAGTAAAGGTCTTGCTTCTTGTGGCAGGATGCCGACGCTGCCGCCCCCCACGACGTGCTTGCCCCGGGGCTCATGGGTGTGCTGCACTGGCTTCTTACACCCTTAACACAGGGACCTCGATAACTACAAAAGCTTTAGGGCGTATGTTATCGTGTAGTTGAAGAAGGACCGTAGATGTTAAGTGTTTCTAACTATACAGAGCCCCATACTGTATTAAGCCTCACGTTATTCTACCATATTATTTTTGGAAAGGGTCCTAAACCCCATACCGATACTCTTGCAGGTCATACGTCGTCAACCCTACTTTATCCATCCGGCACACAAGGCCTTTCCAAATACAAAGCCCTAAAGCAACCCGCTCCAGCTCTAAATTCTTGGCCCTAAATAAACCTAGTCTGTTAAGGGTCCCATCGTGCAGCCGAAACCCCAAACCCCAACAAGCCCCAAGCTTAAACCTTAAGCCGACGTAGCCAGGCCGTAAATGCAGAATCTCAAGAGATTTGTTCTTTGGATGTTATTAGGAAAGGGCCGCCGTAATGACAACGAGGCCATAACGTCATTGATCCCCATATACAACCCCATGTCCGTCTTCAACCGGCAAATGATTGAGAGCGAGGGGACTGAAGGATTTGGGGGTGTTAAGGTTTATGGTTAGAGAGACCCAGCGAGCGCAATACTCCTCAACCATCTTGCGAATCCGTCTGTGCTGTATGGTTGGTTGCTTGCTAAAGCCAGTTCGCTGCCTTCTCCCTCCTTAATCCATAGCCTCCTGAGGAAGTATTACAAAATAGTTTGGTTGTCAGGGTGGGTATAGTAATTTTAGTGTATTCTTCTTGAAACAGACAGGCGAGAGGAGCCACAGCGGGAGGTGTGGATAATCCTAGCTGCACCCTCGCAGTTGAAGAAGTATTGTTTATGTTTAAGGTTTTGTGGTGAATGTATAGTAAACAGTGTTCCTGAGCAGAGATAATAGTGAGTGTGTACCTTGGGTTTACTACGAAAACAACTGTATACCCTACACCATTTGATGTTCTTCTTGGGGATATTTGTGATCATCATGCTGGGGCTTTGTAATAGTAGCCCTGCGCTCGACAAATTAACGGAGATAAATGCAACTCAACTGGTATAAAACACGACCACCGTTCATCCTAAATCCTATACACCCTAAACCGTGACTCCTAAACCCCTAAAGCCCGAAACCCCTAAACCCTACAGATCCCCTCTAAAGGAACCCTAAGGACCCTAAACGTCTAAGCCCTGAACCGTACACCTTACACCCTAAACCCTAAAGCCCCCTAAACCCACAGGCCCCATAGTAGTTCCTTTCTGGGAATACCTCATAGGATTCTATATGAACCCCAAAAAGGAACTACTTTGGGGCCTTACTTAGAGGATCATGGGACTTAGTAAGTAGGGTTATAAGTACCTTCATTAAGGTTATAAGTAGATATAACTATGGTTACCCTACTCATAACCCTACTTGCTAAGTCCCATGATCCTCTAAGTAGGCTACACCACTTGGCCCTTGGAGTTTTTGGAAGCTCTTGCGCTGAGGCCTCCGTATCGGTCGGAGAGCAGATCCTCGACCTTACAGGCCTCGAGTTCAGGTTTTTTTTGGATGGTTTTAAGGTAATTACAGCGTTTTTAGAGGGTTTATAGAGTTCAGGGCAGTTTTAGTGTCATTTTAGAGTTGGAGGTTGTGCGTGTTTTTTTGTTGATTTTAGGCTTGAGGTTGAGGGCACTAGGTTTCAGGGTTTCCGGGTGAGGGTCTCGCCCGCCACATGACAGTGACAACAACGGCAATGACACCTCTCCTCCTACTCTTGCGCCCGAAACCCTAAACCCCTAAACCCTAAACCCCTAAGCCCCTATAACCCTCTGTGTAAACCCTAAACCCCTTAAGCCCTAAAACCCTTAAATCCCCGCAGGGCAATGCGCCAGTCAGATCGGAGAGCCGGTCGTCAACGCTGCGAGGCGTCGCTGCAGAGACCGAGGCGGCAGTGGGTTTCGCATTTCGGTTTTGTTCCAGGTTTTGATTTTGGGCTTAGGGTCGAAACTTTGGGGTTCGGGTTTAGGGTTTAGGGGTTTAGGGCTTTGGGTTTTAGGGGTTTAGGGTTTAGGGTTTTGGAAAGTTGTGTCGAGTTTTAACATGTGAGGTCTTGTAAGTGTGTAGGATTTTGAGGTTGTATGGTTGTAGTTTAACATGCAGTTAGGGCCTTCAAGGGTAGATGCCCCTAAAGTTTAGGGTTTTCTAGGTGTTGGGGAGCTGGTTGACAGCAATCTTGCAGTGTGGGGCTTCAGGTGTTTGGTGGGCCTTACGTGGCTGCCATAAAAGCATACAATTTCAACAGCAGAAAATCAAAAGCAAAGGCAGGGTTGTCGAGAAATACTCAACACAGTGGGTCACGAAGTTGAAGAGCAGATCACCTTCAAGTTTCGCTAGAATGTCGGTGCGTGAGTGCATATATGGAAGTACCTTGCTGGATCTGTTTGCATCTGCGCCCCAGTGGGCTGTGTGCTTGTACGCTGTGTGTGCAGGTGCATGTACCAAAGAGCGAATGACTGCGTGTGAGTCTTCGTACACGCATGTATGTTGGTATTGGTGTCAAGGCTTTTCTCCTGCCTCGTAAGTCCGGTATAGGCTAGGTTCCAAGCACTCCCCCGAAAAAGTTCAAGGTATGCCTCCACATTTGCTCAGAGTTTGGGTCCCGGTTGACGGTTTAGCCAAGAAGATCTTCACATCCTAAGCCCTAAACCTCTAAACCCTAAACCCTTGAGCCGCTAAATCCTTAAGGGTCCATGTAGACTGGACCTATAGTACCCAGAAAAGAACCCTTTGGAGACCTCAGTGTAAAAGCTATCACCTAGACGTGCATAGAGCCTTAGAGAGCCCTTTACTCTTTACTTCCCAATGCCCAAACCATTAAGGCCCTCAACCTCTGAATCCCTAAACCCTAAACCCCTAGAGCCCTAAAGAGCTATAGTAAACCCCATAAAGTTGGAAACCGGATCAAGGCCAAATAGTGCTGGGATTCCCTATACATTACTCTTAAGGATTGAGGCTATTAGGTTTCCAACTTTTGGGCTTCTACTGTAAACCCTAAACCCCTCCACCACTAGACCCCAACGCCCGAATCCCCAAAACCCTCGAAAGAACGGTCAGGCCAACTCCTCGTCTATGTCCTTCTTTCCGAGGAGGTCGAAATCAAAGCCAGCGGCCTGGCGAAAAGGAAACAATTCCGATTGCAGGGCCCAGAAAGTGAAGGGCTTAGGCCTTAGGGTTCAGGGTTGAGAGCTCTCCGGCCCCTACCCAGAGAGCCCAATGCCCCTTACTTCAGGAATATAGCTTAAACCATAATATGAAACCGTATATAATTTAAGCTATATTCCTTAATTAAGGGGTATTGGGCTCTCTGGGTAGAGTCTAGGGTTTAGGGCTTAGGGTTTAGGTTTTAGGGTGCACGGCTTAGCTTCGGGGCCTTAATATGGTTTGCCAAGAGGTCCTTCATTGTTTTAGAGCATGTTCAGGGGGTAACACTTCAAGGAGTGCACATTCTTCATAGCATGCCCATGCCATGGTGACTCAAGTTAACAAGTTCAGGGTGTTGGAGGCTGCAGTGCTCGAGGTTTAGGAGTTTGGGGTCAACTTCTATTCTTTCAGCTTCAGCCCGCCAGCCTAGCCTGTCAGCTGGTAACACAGCCATGCTTTAAAGCGAGTGTTAAGAACTATAGTAACAGTAGCAATATGTAGTTTCCCCCCCTCTTGGACCGTTTATAGTTCCTAGTGTAACCCCAAACCTATCCTAATGATGAATAAAGCATGAACCTAAGCTCTGGGAGCCCCGGCTCATGGTTCCCAGGTTGCACTCAGTGTGCGCCTAAACCCCAAACCCCTAAACCCCTAAGCCCTAAAGTAGTTGATCCACAAGTGATTCGCTTCTGGATTGTTCCAAGACTGCCTGCATAACTAGGATGCCTAGTAGTACCCTTATTCCCTTTTTGTAGTCCTAGGTTCCTTATAAAGTTACCCAATTCTAAAAAGAGAGGCCTTTTTATTCTTAGGTTACTGGGTATTCTAGATACACCAAACCCTAACCCCTAAACCCTCAACCCTCAACCCTCAACCCCTAAACCCTAAACCCTAAAGGCCTCTTGAGCACTATTGTCCCTGGACTTGGAGCCCAGGGTTCAGGGTTTCCGAGGAAGCTGACTAACTTGGACACGGTTTAGGGGTTCAAGGTTTAGGGGTTGAGGGTTTAGGGGTTTAAGGTTTAGGGGGTTAGGGTTTAAGGTTTAGGGGTTGAGGGTTTAGGGTTTAGGGTTTAGGGGTTTAGGGTTGAGGGTTTAGGGTTTAGGGTTTAGGGTTTAAGGTTTAAGGTTTAGGGGTTTAGGGTTTAGGGGTTTAGGGGTTGAGGGTTTAGGGGTTTAGGGTTTAGGGGTTGAGGGTTTAGCGTTTGAGGGTTTAGGGGTTGAGGGCTTAGGGGTTTAGGGGTTGAGGGTTTAGGGGTTTAGGGTTTAGGGGTTGAGGGTTTAGGGGTTGAGGGCTTAGGGGTTTAGGGCTTGGGGACACTAAGACCGTCAGCCCTCTACCGTAACACCCCGACACCTTAGCCCCTTAAGCCAAGATCGCAGGACTTCTCATATTTTTGCTCTTCTACATCTACAACCATAAGCTTTAAGCTGTAAATCCAAAAGGCCCTGAGGAGAAAACCCTGAAGGACCCTAACCTAAACCCTAAACCCTAAACCCTAAACCCTAAACCCCTAAACCCCTAAACCCCTAAAGCCCTAAACCCCTAAACCCCTAAACCCCTAAACCCCTAAACCCCTAAACCCCTAAACCCTAAACCCCTAAACCCCTAAACCCCTAAAGCCCTAAACCCTAAACCCCTAAACCCCTAAAGCCCTAAACCCCTAAACCCCTAAACCCCTAAAGCCCTAAACCCCTAAACCCCTAAACCCCTAAACCCCTAAACCCCTAAACCCTAAACCCCGAAACCCCTAAACCTTAAAGCCCTAAAGCCCTAAAGCCCTAAACCCTAAACCCCTAAACCCCTAAAGTCCTAAACCCTAAACCCTAAAGCCCTAAACCCTAAACTCTAAACCCCTAAACCCTGAAAGAAGGGAGCAGAGCCTATCACAGCACGCCCTAGACTCCCCAGACCCCCGGGAGGATCCAAAAAGTAGATCCCTTAATGGGGGGGGTTCCTTTTCAGGGTTCCTTTAAGGGTCCCTTTAAGGGATCTATAGGTTTTTAGGGTCTAGGGTTTAGGGTAGATCCCTTAATGGGGGTTCCATAAAGTACGCTTAGTAGTATAGGGCCCCAAATTAGGGGATGGGTCTGGGATCTAAACCCCGCCAGTACCAAACCTTGAAAGCCCTTCATGCTAAACCTTGAAAGCCCTAAACCCCAAATCCTGAGTGCCCTTGAAAGCTTGACAAAGCCCTAGACCCTAGACCTAGGAAGCCTTAAGAAGCCCCTAGACCCTAATCCCTGAAAGCCCTAGACCTTAAACATTGAAAGCCGAAAAAAAGTCATGAAAGCCCTAAAACGCCCTCTACCCTACACCCTGAAAGCCCTAAAACCCTAGACCTTGAAGGCCCTAAACCGTAAACCCTTAACCTTGAAAGCCCTAAACAGCCCTAAACCTTGAAAGCCCTAAGCAGCCCTAAACCCTGAACCCTGAGAGCCCGAAACCCTCAAACAAAAACAAATCGAGCCGATCTCAGGACAGTAGCGGCTCTCCTCCGGGCTCGAAGTCCGAGGTACGCCTGCCCCATCAGGGCCTTGGCTTCGTGTTCGGGGGTGTATAGTTATGTGTTCAGTTTAGCGTTTGTATAAGGGTTTAGGGCTTAGGGTAATTATGGTATAATTATGGTTTACGTGTAGCCGAAAAGACGTACTTTTGTTTAAGGAACTTTGTATAGAAGCCATAATAAGGAACCCTTAAAAAGGTAGGTCTTTTCGGCTACAGGTCGGGTTTGTAAAGGGTTTAGGGCTGGGTTTGGGCTTATAGGGCTTCTATAGGGTTTAGGGTTGGGAGTTTATGGTTTGTGGTTGAGGGTGTGGGGATTAGGGTTTAGGGCTTCGCGTTTGGGTTTAAGGGATTTAGAGTGATTTAGGGCTTTGGGGTTCAGGGTTTGACGGCTTAGGGTTTATAAGGCTTAGGGTTAGGGGCTTATAGGACTCATATAGGGTTTAAGGGTTTAGGGTTTAAGGTTTTTATGGGGTGGTGCGTAGTTAGGTGTCAGGGATGGGGCTTGGGGAGCTGGGTTGAGGGCTTTGCAGATGGCTGTAGGGTTTAGGGTTTAGGGTGTAGGATTCATATCCCTAAGGGTCCATGTACTCATATAGCATACCCTTGGGCCCCGAAGTACTTAAAGAAGGACTACATGAAGGCCAATGTTTCTACTATATGAGTACATGGACCCTTAGGGTATAGGCATCTAGGAATCTAGGCTTAGGGTTTGCGATCTAACCCCTGTGCTGTATAATTCGGGTTACGGGTGTGTCTTGTTTAAAACGAGCCTCTGACGTACGTGTCCGGGCAGTCTTTCGCTTGCAAGCTCTGAGCTGGTGTTTCCCAGAACCTCCAAAACCCCTTAATTAAGGGATGTACCTTAAATTACAACAGGATCCCTAATATGATGTAAGGTATATTCCTTAATTAAGGGATTTTGGAAGGTCTGGGAAGCTCTGAGCTGGTGTTTCTTGTCCCTTCGACTTGGTTCGTCGGATACACAATCGTGTCAAACCGAAGCTCAGTCCTGCTAATATCCCTGATCGTCAGTCGTCATGTCTGAACCCTGATAGTAAACTGCAAAAAGCTCAGGGTCCTTTCCAGCATGCCCCCTTTGGACCGCGGGCAAAACGTGGCCTTCATCGAAGCCCAGGCGTCATGTCCGAGCCGTCCGAAGCCTACACCCGAGCACACAACGTGTATTCGAGAACACCGTCGGTGTTCACCCACGTGATCAACGGCAGCGTCAAGGCTGCTGGGATGTTCGCCTCGGAGTTTCCAGGGGTAGCGACGTTCGGCTGCTTCGACGTGGGTTCATACAAGGCCGGCCAGTGTATCGGAGTGTCCATGGGGATTCCAGTGTTTTTGCATGTGCCGTGACTTGTACTGGAAGAACGCTGCCTGACGCAAGTCAAACCCTCTTACGAGGGGAGGGTTTAACTCTCATCGCGTTGCGGAAGTACACATCTTTCGGCGACCAGAAGATCTTTCGACTTCCACTGCGGCATAGAGGGCATCGTAGCGCGCCCGAGAGGGAGCCACGAGGCGGATACCGCCATCCACATCGTACTTGCTGTATTTTTCGGCCGAAGCCTGAAACTTGAAACCCCAGTGATTTGGGTCCAAGGTTTGGCTCAATCAGCTACTTCTCCTGCCTTCAGCTGCCCCAGCCAAAACCCTAAACCTAGGAGAAACCTCAACCTCGCCTGAATTACTTAAGGGTTCAGGCTGAATAGGTTGAATAGGTCTAAGGCCTCGAAAGATGGATGAAGATAAGTTTGGGGAGCCAAAATAAGCGTCTTTGTCTATAGGATCCTTCCTCCCTACACCTACACCCCGAACCCTAGACTTTAAGCCTCAAACTCTCTACACGCATCGAATTCGCCGCCCAGTAGTACCCTTATTCCCTTTTTGGTAGTCCTAGGTTCCTTATAAAGTTGCCCAATACCAAAAAGAGAGGCCTTTTTATTCTAAGGTTACTGGGTATCATAGTTGGTTTTAGGATACTTAAAGGCTCTGTAAGGTGTCTTTTGGGAGAATAGACGGTGTTTTAGGCATTTGGAGCCTTAGGCAAGCCTCGTGTAGGGTTCCGCTCAAAAAGAAGTATGCTAATGTAGGGACCTGATGAAGAATCAATCCTTGGTCCTATAACCGACTATAACCCCCAAATAGTAGGATTCACATTAACGAACCCTACTAAAGGCCCAAGGTTTCTTAATCAGGCTCCCCTACATTAACACTCATAGTAGCGAAAGCTGTCCCCTTGCAGTCTGGCTCGCGAGCCACGTCCAAGACTGCGGCCCCTGGGCATCAACAGCAGTGTCGTTTATTGCTTGTTTTCGGGCCGAGCGGTAAGACCGGTAAGGCTTTAGAAGGATTAGGATTAAGAATTCTGGGTACTTAGAGGATCATGGGACTTAGTAAGTAGGGTTATAAGTACCTTAATTAGGGTTATTATAAGTAGATATCACTATAATTACCTCACTTATAACCCTACTTACCAAGTCCCTGATCCTCTATGTAGAGTTCAGGTAGGGTTCAGGCTTTGGGAGTAGAAGATCCTTTACGATCGAAACCAGGATTTTGCATGGGGGTTTCTGGGTTCATACTCCTCACAACTATGATGACAATCAGAATGATACGGTTCATGATATAACAGTCTACATCCTGCATTACCCATAATACGTAAGGAAGATGCCATCATTCCTATGGGTCATTAAGGTAATGCAGGATTTATATCATCAACCGTATCGCTGACTTTGGTGGTCTGGTCTGGTCACAGGGGACCCCCTCGGGGGCTCAGTTGGCACCAGTAGCCTTTAACCTTTGGGGGCTCAAGAAGTCCTGTTATTCTCCAAAAGGTTCACCAATTTTTGGGCTAGGATACGCAGCCCCTCAGGCCCTAGATCCTACTTGGAGGATCCGGCGACCTCGTACGTCAGCTATACCAGAATTACTCTGGTGGGGGTACCTCCTAGCGGCGTTCTAGGGCCCCGATCCTCCAAGTACTCCGACACCGGCTGAAGCAGAAATTCACCCTAAACCCTAAATCCTAAACCCTAAACCCTCAATCCTGGCGAGTCTGGGGCAAACCTTGCATTGCAGTTCAAAGGTCTATATAACTAGCGAGTAGGCCCTTATTCCCTTTTTTAGGGTTTAGGTTACCTGATAACCCCCTTTAAACCAAAAAGGGCACCCTTTGTATTCCTAGGTTACTCTTAGGTCTAGATAAGGGTAGCCTTCTCCTGGGCGCAGATGGCGTTCTGCATAATACAGGGGCGTCAATTATTACCTATACTATTTTTGGGGTTCCTTTAAAGGGTTCCTGTAAAGGGGGTTGTAGAGGTTGCCATAAAGGGTAATGTAAGGGTTCTATACCAGAGGGGCCTTAATAATTACTTATACTAATTTGGGGGGGGGGGTCCTTGTTATAGTTAAAGTATAATGGGCCCAACAGCCCTATTCTAATTATTAAGGCCCCTGTATTACCATGATATTTTGCAGGTTCCGTTCCAAAGTGCCCCGCAACTTAGGACATTTACCTTTGCCACTTGATGGTTTAAGGTTGCCGGAAATTACGTACACTCCCTAACCGAAACAATTTCCCCTGAACGCCTCGACAATTTCTGGCGACAGGCACCCTTAAATGTGCAGTTGCCCACAGCTTACTAAGTTTTTGCCTGTTAATACGACCAAGCGTACCATGGCTACTCCCTCACATCTATGCCTCTATCTGTATCTATATCTGAGTGTGTGTGTATATATATATATACGTATGTATGTATGTGTATGTATATATATAGAGAGAGAGAGGCAGTTAGACATATGTGTGTGTGTATGTATATATATATATACACATATACCCAGAAGCTGCCTGTAGGAGCGGCGGCGGACCCGCTCCAAGACGGACGAGGCACTTGCACTGGGCCAGCGCAAGGGAGGTAGTGACAAGGGCCCCAGTTTGGAGGTTGAGGGTGCTTCGGGAAAGTTCCGGCGTTTAGGGTTTAGAGTTTACCCGTGACCCCAAACCCGACAGAAGAGGTAAAGTTTAGGACTAGACTGTGGGTGTTCTGATACAGGTTAGGGTTTAACGTAGGAAGACACCCAAATGGTAGGATTCACATTAAGGAACCCTACTAAAGGCCCAAGGTTTGTTACTCAGGTTCCTACGATCAGGGTTTAGGACTGTAGATATGGACAGCCGCGGTTTAGGTGTGCTGCGAAGTTTGGGGGGTTTTTGCGTTTCGGTTTTTAGGAGAGTTCAGAGTTCAGAGTGCTCTGAGAAGCCCTTACCCTACTTAAACCACAACCCCTAAACACTAAGAACCGTAGACCCTAACCCCTAAACCCTAAACCCTAACCCTCTTTTGACAAGGCCTCAGCCGTATCTCGTGGCGATGACTTGGAGGCATTCTGTTCGTTTTGAGGGATTCGAGTTTCTCGGTGTCGCTTTGTTGGCTTCAGAGCTTCGAGGTTTGGGGCCTTGGAATTGGGGGTTCAGTGTTTGAGAGTTGGGATGATAGGGTTGAGAGTTTGTGGTTGTTGGGTTCAGGGATCAGGGCTCAGCGCTTGGGGACATGGTTCTCAGGGTTTACGGATGAAGGCTTCCGGTGCCTGGTTTAGATTAGAAGCTGCCCCCACCCTGTAATAGTGACTATAAGGTTTATATTAGGGCCCTATTACATTCCTATTATACCGCTCGTACAGGGTGGGGGCCCCTTCTAAGGTTCAGACTTTCTTTTGCAATCGGGGGCGTCAGCAGAGAAGGCTTGAAGGTTACGGATTGCTGTCGGCTGCTACGTTAGCAGGAGTCTCCCAAGTTGGAGTGAAACCTGAACCCCTAAAGCCTCATCTGTGAACCTTAAAGCCCTCAGACCCTAAACCCTAAAGCCCTAAACTTCAAAACCTTGAAGCCTAATCAGTACATTGAGGTTATAAGTACGGTATAACTATAGCTGTATTTACTTTTCACCCTACTTGCAGTTCTTCCAACTACAACCCTAAGCCCTAAACCCATAGCCCCACTTGCAGCACTTATAAGTTGAAACTATAACTACCACCCTTCTTGCTAAGCCTCATGATCCTCTAATTTAGTCCGGTAGAACATATCAGAAGGCGGCCGTGGTTGAGGCTCAGGTCTCGGGGGCTGGGGCTTAGATCTTTTGGGGTTTAGGGACCTAGGGATCAGGGTTAAGGATAGGGGTTAAGGGACTATAGGGTTTAGGGAGGATTAGGGTTTAGGGACTATAGAGTTTAGGGATTATAGGGTTTAGGGATTATAGGGTTTAGGATTTGCTTGTTTTTTTTGGGGGGGTAAGGGTCTGTAGTCTTAGGGTTCTGGAGTTCCGGGCTTGGGCACCTAGGTTGTCAGCTAGGAAGCCGCTTGGAAGGGCCGGCTGCCGGAAACCAGTCCTTACTGTATCTCTTGGCAGGAAGGAAGGTGTAGCTTAGGTTCTCAGAATGCAAGAACACAGTCTAGGCTTCAGAATTCTGAACCAGATCCTTGGGTCCTAGGGTCCTAACAGCAGACCCCTGCTGTAGCTGATTGTTGTTTATTTTTTTTGGGTCATCCAATACCTCCTTGAGAGGGCGGGGGACAACGGTACTTTGGCCAGCATTCATGACAAACTCGCGTGCATGTCGCTTGACTTCAAACACCGAAAGATTCCTGGATGTGTCATGTGACTGCACGGACTTAGTCGTGCTGGTGCGTTGAAATCCAAGAAGGCGAATGTCGAACGAAGCTCTGGCCAAGAAAAAGCCTCTGATTATCTCTGCAGGGGACACCGGAGTGGTGACCCACCTGTTCGATGCAGGTATTATTGAGAGATTCGTGTTCGAGGATCCACTCTTCGAAAGCCGTAGCATAAAGCACGGATCACTCGACGCTCTTGCCAGGGGAGTGGGCGACAGAATGCCACGGTTTGACTTCATTGCTTCGATAGATTTTGGGAGCTATGACGGATCATGCACTCAAGAGCTCCGCACGCTGGTGGAGAACGCGTTGATAGTAGCCTTGGTGAAAACGACAGACTGCTATCACAGCAACGGCTCCGTGTCTTCATCTCCTCGTATGCTTACTCGATCAGGTAGCTCTTCGATGGACTTGGACTTCAGGTACATCCCAGAACAGTGTACACAACCCTGGGTCCAGGTAATATAGTAGGCTCTGAACCCTAAACACCAACTCCCAAATCCCTTTGCCAAGCTCCTTTCACACCCTATAGCCAAGTCTGCTGAAGCTACCTGCAAGGGCAGGTAATTGAGCCAGAAGCAACCTAAAGTAGGGTCGGAGGATATCCTTCTTATAGAACTCTGCATTATAACTGACTTACTAAGACCCCTCATGCTCCAAGCCGTAGAGGCCTGAATCACTGTAGTTCGTATTCCTCAGGGTTCGTTGACATAACTCTAGTATTGTATCACCTACTAGTACTTGCAAAATCTTAAATCCTCAAGCACTAATTCCTTAAACCCAAAAGACCCAAAGGCCAGAGCCCGAAATCCGTGAAGCCCTAAAGCCCTAAAACCCTGCACCTGAAGCTGAGACACTGAACCCTAAAGCCCTAGACCCGAAACTGAAACCCTGATCCTTAAAATTCTGCACCCTAAAACCCTGAAACCTAAAACCCTACGCCCTAAGCCCTAAACTGAAACGCTAAGCCCCAGAACCCTATCTAGACCCTCCGTCGACCGTCTATTAGAACCTAAATGCCGGCCATAGACCTCTATTTAAGGGTACATGGAGGGTCCCGGAAGCCCTGTTTTAATTATTATTAAGGCCCCCCTTATTACTCGTATCTTTGAAGCCCTAAGCCCCAGAACCCTACACCCTAAACCCTAAACCCTCTTAATTGGCATCCATTTCGTCGCCAAGTGTTTCGCTTCGTGACAGTCCGCATGACCGATTGCATAAACCCTAAACCCTAAACCCTACATTACCCTAAACCCTAAACCCTAAACCCTACATTACCCTAAACCGCTAAAGCGCAGCCTGGAGGATGACTTGCATGTGGCGAAGATCCCGAGCATGTCGAGCTCCTTTCCTCAGAAGTGATGTAGGAGTTTCCGAAAACAAGGGGCCTAGGGTTGCTTTAAAGGGATCCTTTAAAGGCTCCTATAAGGATCTATGGGGTTTAGGGTTTAGGGGCTCTAGGAGTGGTTCACGGGCGGAACTTTAGGGTTTAGTAGTTTAGGGGCTTCCGGATGTAGGGGTGCACCGGTTTAACTTTAGCTAGGATGCCCAGTAGTACCCATATTCCCTTTTTGTAGTCCTAGGTTCCTTACAAAGTTACCCAATACCAAAAAGAGAGGCCTTTTTATTCTTAGGTTACTGTATCCTAGTTTAGGGTTTAGTGCTTTCGTGATTTGGGAAGGGTTTAAGGTTTGGGGGGGTCAGGGGTTAAGGGCTAGGCAGTTTATGGTTGGTGGGGATGAGGGGTGTGGGGGTTTGAGAGTCTTATGGGTTTGGTAGGGTTCTAAGGGTTTGGGCTTGGGTGGTGTTTAGGGATTTTGCGCTCTTTGTGGGTTCGGGTCGCGGTGTTTATAGGTTTCTGCAAGCGTTTAATACAGGGCGAGGCTGCTATGTTACTCTATGGGTTACTACAAGCGTTCTATAGGGGTTCCTTTTTCGGCCTGGGATTTATGGCTTTTGGAGGAGACTGTCCACTTAGGGCTTCGAGGGTTGTACGGTCTAGGACTGGAAGGCCGTGGGGCTTGTACTTCCGGCAATCCCTCAGGGACATTGGAGATGATGAGACACAGAGAGTACCTTCAGGCTAGACTGTGGTCCAGGGCAACAGTTTTACAGATTTTAGGGCTAAGCCCAAACTTTCGCCTATGCGCACCGAGCATCAACGACTAAGGGTTAGTTACAGTCACGCACCTATACAGGGAACTTGGGTCGTCTTGGTACGAAATGGCTCGGGGGACTTGCGAAAGTAGGCAGCAAGCGATCTTGTATCTATGTCTACAGTATCTCTCTGTACAGCTAACCTAAGGACACTTAGAATACGAGCCTGTCGCTGTCCTGACCTTTCCTTAGTAGCTGAGTGGATACACGTTACACTTTTTGGGATAGTATTACCCACTATAACTATAACACTGAAAGTGTACACTTTTGGGGGCTTCTGAACTCAGCAACTAAGTTTCGCACCCGCAAGCAACCGGCTACTGCATGGCTCTAAGCCCTAAGCCCTAAACCCTGAACCTTAAACCCTAAACCGTAAGCCCTAAGCCCTAAACCTTAAACACTACACCTTATACACCCGAAACCCGAAACCTCTATGCTAAAGTTCCTTAAGCCCCAAGTATCCTTACACCCGAAGCCTGAAGCTCTTCGGCCCCTGAAGGAAGCCTTAAAGGAACCCCTTAAAGGACCCTTCAAGGCCTGAAGCCCTTAAGGCCCTAAGGGCACCATTTAAAACCCTAAACCCTAAACCCTAAACCCTAAAGGAGCCCTCAAGGAACCCTTCAGGGAACTCTTAAAGCCCTGCAGCCCTTAGACCCTCGACCCGGCAATCCCGAAGCTCTGCTTGGAGGGTCGGGGGACTTAGTAACTGGTTATTTTAGGGACTTATAAGTACCATAACCTCAATTAGGATCCCTTTTAGGGTACCTATAAGTCTACTTATCACCGACTTACTAAGTCCCCCGACCCTCCAAGTGGGCCCCAAGCCTCATGCTTCTACTATAGGGGCCTTAATAACTACCTATACTATTTTGGGGGTTCATTATTATAGATATAACATAATTTACACCCAAACCCTAGTCTAATTCTTAAGGCCCCGATATAACAGAACCCTGAAAGTATGACTTATAGTAGCCCTTATATAGACCCCTTTAAACGGAACCCTGAAAGAAACCCTAGTCTAATTATTAAAGCCCCGATAGTAAGGTTTCGGCCCGCGACCATCGGCTCCTTCTGCGAAGCAGACGCAGGACTTTCTGGGTCTTCAGGGTGTGGGTTTAGGGTTCAGGGGTTTAGGGTTTTAGGGTTTAGGGCTTTAGGGTTTAGGGTTGAGGGCTTTAGGGCTCATGGCTTTTAGTGCAGTGTTTTCGCGCTTTGGGTATGACGTTCAGTATCTACGGTTCCAGTTTGTAGGGTCTAGAACTTTCGGGATTGATGTTTAGGGTATACCTGAAGGATCAATGGACATGCAAGCCACAAGTGTTGATGATATAAATCCTGCATTACCTTAAGGACCCTAAACTATGGGATACAGGTATATTCCTTATTGTGGGTAATGCAGGATGTATATCATCAACCGAAGTATTGCAATTCTGCCCCACCCCCCCCAAAAAAAAAAAAAAAAACATGGCTTAGGTTTTCAGGTTTTTACAGTTTTAGGGCCTTAGGGCTTTATGGTTTGATGATTTACCCAAAGAGCCCAGTGCCCCTTAGTTAAGGATTATAGCTTAAATCATAATATGAAGCCCCCCAAAAAGGGACGCTAATTTTGACAACCACCCACATGAAAGCCTACGTCCCCCCCCCCCCCAACGCAGGAGGGCCTGGGAGAGACCGGGTTCGGCGCTCGCAGTTTCGGTGAGATGGCCGAGATTTTGGGTTTGCTGCTTCAGGGAGAGTATACGGGTGTACTACAGGGATTTAGGGTTTATGGTGTCATTGCTTTGGGTTTAATGTATTCTTTAGGGGTTGATCCTTCTTACATCTTGGGCATCTAGGACCCAGGTTCCCGGTCCTACTACCTCGCAGAAAGGTTTAGGAAATACCGGTTTGTTTCTTTTTGTGTTTTTTTAATGTGCTGTCTAGTTAGCGGGTTTCATGTTCTTGGACAAATAGTGTTGTAGTCTGCTACCAGGATACAGTTTCTACCAGAACAGTGCATACATACGTACATGCATGTATACCTATGCGGAACCCAGTTTTTCCGGATTGAGATTGCTTCACAAACTGTGCCCATGCATTTTTTTGGGGGTCAGCCCGGCCAGGGATCCTTTGCTGGATCTTGGGGGGTGATAGGCAAGCATGCCACTAGAAGATACAGTACCTCAAAACCCTAAACACATCATTGGCGCCCCGACACCGAAGCCCAAACTTTACAAGCCTTTTTGTGATCAGAACCGTTGTATAGCCCCCTATCGCAACCCTGAGCTAAAGGAAGCCTGCAACATCCCGTTTTTTGTCCTCCTGAAGCCCAACTAGGTATTATTCATAGACATAAGACCCCAGAGTAGGTACTATTCGTATATTTGGAGTCTTAGGGAAACAGTATCCCTTGGCTTCGCTGCTTTCCCCAAGACTCCAATATCCCTTAATTAAGGAAATTAAGGAATTCCTTAAATCATAATAGGGATCCTATTGCATTTTGAGGTATATTCCTTTATATTCCTGAATATAGAGATATTGGAGTCTTTGGGTTCCTTTTCTGCAGCTCAGGCGAGATGATCTCGCCGACTCTGTCGGATAATTTCCGCTGCTGGGCTGCGCTTCCGTTTTGTTGATGTGGGAGTTTCCGAAAATAGGGGTACCTTATTTGGGGGGTCCTTATAGTAAGGATCCTACTATTTAAGGTGCTATATTAGGGTCCCCTAGTTTCGGAAACTCCCATGTGTGTTTAAACGGGTAAAAGAGGATTCCTTCAAAGGGCTATGTACGTGCATGCGTACGTGCATACGCAGGTAGGCAGGTATGCCTATAGGTGCGTATGTATGTAGCATGCATGTATGTATGTATGTCTGTGTATGTATGTATGTATGTATGTGTGTACGTCCGTTTGTGTGTCTGTCTGGCTGTGTGTGTGTGTATGTATGTCTGTACTTACGTAGTAATTACGTAGGTTTTTGTAATTCGTGTCAGGCATATAGTGTATGTCATGTGTTTAATGTATGCAGTGTAGGAGATGCATGTAGTGTATGTAATGCAGTTATATCTTCCATGTAATGCATGCATATGTGTGTAATGTATGTAATGTATGTACAAGTATATGTATATGCATACATTGTATACACACAAGCACCTGACTGGTGTGAAATCGCTTGAAAGTAGAGTTGCAAGGAGGGAAATAGGATGCCCCGGGCTGCTTTGAAATGGCTACCTACAATCTGCACTTCGCAAGGACGGCTCTGTACAACCCTTACATACGCCTACACAACAACTTTATGAGAAGAGGCCGATATCCTCATCTCCATGCTGTTCGTCCTATCTAAGGATTGGTCCGAGGGAAAAGCGAGGCGTCTGGGACGAAGTCGCTGAGGTCGATGATGATGACTTCCAAATCGGAGTCCGCACCTGGGTTCTCCTTAGGGCATACTTTTCTTTGTTCCGTTTTTGAAATAGTATTAGTATAAGTCCCCAGGGCTGTGGTTGTTTGGGTCTAAAGGGAACTCCAGAAAGTTGGAAAATGGTTTCAGGGTGGGATACCTTATAATATACCATTAAGGGTTTAGGATAATCATGTTCCAACTTTCTGGCTTTTACTTTAAGGGGCCTATGCCTACAAACGGGCTTATGTGTTTTGATGCCGTTAAGGGCTTGGAGTTGTAGGAATATTGCTTCAGGCTCAGGTCCCGGGCTGTTTAGAGTTTAGGATTTAGGTTTCGGGGTTCTGGATGTGTCATTCTATCCTGTCTTTACCACTATGGGCTATTAGGCCCTGGAGATCCCTATTAGGACCCTATTAAGGGTAGATTAAGGTACCCACAAGGTCTAACAGCCCATAGTGGTAGCTGTTGCTGAAAGCATTGCGATTGATCTCTTAGCAACCCAGAGACTCCAATACCCCTTAATTAAGGAATATACCTTAAATTATAGTAGGATCCTTAATATAATGTAAGGAATATTCCTTGATTAAGGGGTATTGGAGTCTCTTAGCAATCACTTGGCCTTCTCCGAGGAACTAACCGAAGCCCTTGGCTTCTAGAGGACCCAGCAGAACTCGAAGTGCCTCGGGTAGAAGCCGTGTAGACGCCGTAGATAAACTGCGAGCTTCTGAAAGAGCGGTTTAGCGTGGTTTGGGGTCTGGGGTTCTGGATCTAGGCCCGTACCCATAAAAAATGTCACGTTCTTGAGATGTTGACTACTATTTGCTTAAGAAACACCCAAAAAATAAAAATAATAATCCCTATATTACCCCCATGAGGAATATATTTTTTATTTTTTGGGTGTTCTAAACCCTAAACCCTAAACCCTAAACCGCCTTGAGATGTTGAACTCTTAGACCCCTGAGGAGATCGACCCCTTCGATCCGACGCGACCGGATCCGGGTGACTCGATCGGCAGAGTCGTTTCGTGGGGGGTTCAGGGGCTTAGGTAACTATAGTTATATCTACTTATGACCCTAATTAAGGTACTTAGAACCCTACTTACTAAGGCCCAGGATCTTTCAAGTAGGATTTAAGGCTTCGGCGTTTGGGAGCTCAGGGGTTTAGGGCTTAGTGGGCTGAAGAGGTTTTGGGTTTTGGGGTTAGCGGTTTTAGGGTTGAAGGTTTAGGGCGTAGTGATCGTATTATGGAGCTCCTGGAAGCTGTCTTTTGGGCTGCAGACGAGGTTTTGGTCATGTTCCCGATTTCTGAACAGCGCTTTGCGTTCATAGTCATGTGGGCTGGCGGCTGGCATAGGCTTTCTTGAAAGGGGGAGTTTGCTGTGCTCAGGGTTCACGGGCTGCAGGTGCAAGATATGAGAGTAGACGTTTCGGACCCACTTCCGATCGTAGTAGTAAAAGTGCAGTGGTGATAGTTATCATAACAATTATTGGTCATTGTGGAACCAAGAGTAGCAAAAATACAAATAAGGATAACGGTTACAATAATAACGTTACATAACAATGATGATAGTTTACACTGCTCAGCTGTCTTGTAGCTTTGTCAATGAGTACAGGCATAAGAGGGGTTGTAGGGTTAAGGGGGGCAGCGTAGGGCATGTGGAGCGAAAGTCTTAAGTGCAGTTGTGTTCATACCACAAAGATTGTCTCCAAAGGTATATAAGTACAGAGTCGCTGTGAAGTATATACTGAGTTTGAATAGTAATGAGAGCAAGAGTAGCAGTAGCAGTAGTAGCAGTAGTAGTAGTAGTAGCAGTAGTAGCAGTAGTAGCAGTAGTAGCAGTAGTAGCGGTAGTAGCAGTAGTAGTAGTAGTAGTAGTAGCAGTAGTACAGTAATAATAGAGGAGTATCCACCTCTACTCCCTGTATACTCTATCTTACATTCTACTTCAGAACCCTGTTCTAATCGTCAAAGTCAGTATATCGAAGCCTAAGCCTTGCGCCGCAGAGTAGCCGAAGCATGCCAGGCTACTTCGACCTCAACCGCTCCGGGGTGATTCCGACCGCCATCTTTGCGGGTGTTCACTGGCGTGGAAAGTTGGAGCTCCTTTTTGGCTGCCCCTTTCGGCTGTGAACCCCAATTTCCATCCTACTCGGGCCCTAAACCTAAACCCTAAATCCCTCAGCCCTAAACCCTAAACCCCAAATGGCGTGACCCCTGAACGCCGCATGCCCATGAGTTGCTCCGGGGCCCCCATCATCCTTTTGAAGGACCTCATTTTGTCAGCGTTTACAGTAAGGGTTTGTGCGGTTTGTGATTCGGATTTTGTTTGAAGCCCTTCCCCCCGCGCTGCGAAAGCCTACCTGTGGCCATAATTTCCGCGTAGCTGCGGTGCATGGTGCCTGAGCATGGCCTGTTTTCCTTCCCCACCCCTGACAAGTATTGTGTAGAATGTTCGCAAAGCCACGTTCTCGATCAGCTAGCCACGGTCGGCAGGTCGGCACGCTTTGAAAGCCTCGAGCCTTTCTGCTCAGCCTTATGAAACGTCATCAAACTCCTTTGAGGAGTTTGGCCTTACAGCAGCCCCATTTTGCTCTTACCCTCATATTTCCAATCCCTTATATATCATGCCCACTGAAACTGAGCTGCAGGAGTCTGCGGCAGACGAGTTTTAGATCAGTACCTGATAGTGTGTCTGATGCTTAGAAATTTCGGCCCCTTAGGCTGCTGATTTACGGAGGGTGCTGCTTTAATTTTAGGGTTTAGGGGGTTGTACCCTCCAATTACGCCGCTTTATTCGCTGGGTTTTGGGTTACAGGACAAGTTATAATTATTGTGCCGAAACCAAGACACCTTTCTTTTCATATCACCCGGCCAACAAACCCTTGAGAGCCCTAGGTATGGACAACAGCTGCTTCCGTCGTTCTCTTCGCAATGGTCTATATTTACAGGCGAGGTGCCCTGGAAGCCGCGTTGCTTTGTTTGTTCAAGGTCTCAGGGAAATATGCTTTGGTTTATTCGCTGCATGTCCATCAGCCTACCATAGGGCCTATATAATATGTGTACATTGGCCTGTGATATTACGTATTTTGGAACCCCTACACCGAGATACAACCCATGTAAAACCATTTTGAGTCCCCAAATGAGGTAATCGCAATGTTATCAGAAACCCTACTGTGGGTTGTCAAGGGAGTCAACTCTAGTTGACAGGAGTCCGCCAGTATGTCCCAGCGGTCCTGCAGCAGGGTTTAGGGTTTCTGGTAGGTTACTTGGAGCATCATGGCACTTAGCAACTGGGGTTGTTTGTCCCTTCTATAAGTGGGGTGTAATAAGTACTGTAGGTAGAACAATAGTTACCTACACTTTCAACCCCACTTACTAAGTCCCCCGATCCTGTAAGTTGTGTCTTTAGGCCACCGCCAAGGTCTAGACATGACTGCAACTGACCGGAAATGCCGGCGTCATGTTGCGTCTGCTAGCTGCTAGCAGTTTAGTAGGATTTGGTTCCGGAGCCCTGAGTGAGTCTTTGGACACTTTCAACACTATTCGGCACTCCTCCTTCTTGACATGCACAAGACCCGTGGAACCGCCGACTATTCTGGGGTGTGTCTATGAGGTTCACATCATTGAAGAGCGGCTGGCTCAAACCTAGATCCATGATTCCTGGACCCCTGAGTCCGCCTTACGAACCCCTGTCCCTGAATGAGAATCACAAACCTAAAGTCCTAGAAATCTCAATGCTAAACCCTGTAATTACCCCCACGCCTAAACATGCAGCCTACAAGCACTAGCCCTGAAAACTCTTAACATATAACAGGGCTGCCTTATCGGTACATAATCTTATGACAACCCTTGAGGGTCCAGGGTTGAGAGGTTTCCGCTTAGGATTTGAGGCTCGCTCGTTCAGACTCAAGAAGCCTGGCTTTTCATAGCATATACATACATACATGCATGCATTAATTTATATTACATACATACATACATACATACATAGACAGACAGACGGACAGATAGATCGTTCCGTAGATAGATGGACAGGGTTAGGTCAGGAGGCCCAGATGGTATTGAGCAGGGCTTTCTGCATTTAGGTTGTGCAAGATGCGAGGTTGCTTACAGCCTAAAGCCCTCAAGAATCAAAGTCCAAAAGTCTGTCTGTGAACCCCAAACAACAAAAAATGGAACCCAAAACATATGTGGCAGCAAGATTAGGGTTTGGGGATTCGGATTAAACGGGCTACTGTATACGGGTTACAGCGGTAGAACGTAGACACAAACCGTAAGACCCAAAGCCGTAAACCCTACAGAACCCCTAAAGGAGATCCACAACGCGAAACCCAAAGCTCTCGTATAGTCTCCGACCCTACAAAACCTTGTAAACATTCATAAATACTCGCCAACGGCTATAGAACTCGCATAGAACAGCAGCTGTTAGGAGGTCTTCAAGCGCGCTAAACGTTGAGCCCTGAAACCCCGAAGCCCAAACCTTTCTAGAACCTTGCTAGAACACTTATATATACTACCACACCTTCTCCCTTAGACTCCAAGACAAGATCCCGAAAGCTCTCTGCATGGAGCCGGATCGCAGCATTTGCATCTTATGCTTCAGTGCAGGACGGCGGTGGACAAGCCGCTGCATCTTTGAAGGCAGCAGACCCAATGCGAGCTCGCATGATTACTTGGGCGAGGGTGTCTGCAAGGATAAACGACGCAACAGTCCGTCGACCGCAGTATGTTCTATGCCCTGGCCAACAAGGCACGGTTCAGCTGGAGGACGGCCGCCTTGTGTGCGTAGCTATGCCGCATGCTGGACTGCAGCAAAGAGGACATAATTACCAAGTTCTCTGCAAAAGGCCGGAGACCTTGTACAAGCAATGCAAACACTGTTCGAAGAGTACCTGCTTCTGACATATGATGTGTTCGTGCACCAGCGACACCTGGATGAGGTGAAGGAGCACGAAGTAGCATTCGCACAGGCACAGGTCATGGAGACGAAGAAGCGCAATTTGAAAGGCGGCCCTGCGGTGCATCGTTCCTTTCCTTTCGTTCCTCTGGCCCAGGATTAGCTGGCCAGCTTCCTTGGCAACAGGATCGGCTGTGCTGTCTTGTTTGCCGTCTTGGGCGTGTCTCACACCGGATAGAACGGAGCGGGCCAAGTCCCTCTTCAAGCAGCCGCCGGAGCTGAAGCTAGGGAGGGGAGCCTGCAAGTCTTTCCTGAGTCGGTGCGTGCCTGGAGTTTCCTCGACGGCATCATCCTGGACGATGTTCGCGACCTGGACTTCCTGGCCCAGCAGCAAGACAAGCTGCAAGGCAAGTACGTTATCCAGCTTGAGTCCGCGACGACACCGGGAGGCAACTGTGTTTACAATAATATTTGTTTGCAGTGCCGGTCTTCGCGACAGCAAACTACAGCGGCGGAACCTAGACTAGACCACTTCGACAGCCATGACTGGGTGAAGCTGGAGAGCAGCCGCGTCCTTGTCAAGTTGCCACAGGTGCTCGGCCCAGGCTTCTGAAGGTATCACCCAAGGCGATATTGCACAAGATGCCGACCCGAGCATCCGTGGCTTCTTCGTTGCCGAACCATCCATGCTGGCCAGGGAATCTTGTTGTTGCCTGCCGCCCCGGAGAAGTATAGCTGCCAAAAGGCTGAAACAGACCCTGTCTTGACCGATGCAAGACTTTCGAGCAGAAGTTCTTCGCCTGCCACAGCCACCGGGCGCCGGCAGCACCAGTGGAAGCCTTTCATGTTTTTGTTGCAGTCGAGCAGTTCCTCAACAAGCGGTTCCTGGCTTTGCAGCTCCTATCACTCTGCACGGCTGCGTGCGAACCTCGCGAGCCCACTGTGCGATAGCCATTTCGCAAGCACGGTGTTGCTGCTGACGAAGTCGCAGCTGGGCCATAAACTGTTCATCGCCGCGGATGGTGTCAGTCTTTTCGTGCTGCCAAAGAATCCTACTGTATGCAGATCTTCAGAACTACATCGCCCGAGGCGAGACACACATGTGGCGACGTCGAGGCTTGCATGGGGCTTGCCCAGAGCATAACCTGCTCCCGCAGCAAGTTGCCAAGGACCCTGTCGTTCCACTACATTCCACGCTGCTCGGAAGCTGGCCGCTGCCGAGTGGCTGAGGCGTGCCATCCAAGCGTTACACTTTTGGAAGAAGCACAAGCTTTGGAAGGTGCTTTGCGACAACGAGAAATTTCGTCACACTGCGGCTTCCCGAAGTGTGCTGGGGCGGCCGAGGACATTCAGCATGGCGTGTGGCGTATTCTTTGGCCCGAAAAGGCGGCATAAAGCCATGCTACAGCCCAAAACGCGCCCGGTCTCACTTTACCTGCGTCATGTCGGAATGCAACGCCCGGACTGCCCACTTTGCAGCCGTCGTAGAACTCAAAAAAGTTCTCACCGTCCATGACCATTCAAACTTAATTATAAGAGTCTTAAACCTTAAATCGCTAGTCCCTGAAGCCCTGGCATGGTACAAGGGGTCAAAGTCAAGACAAAAGTGACTAAAGCATATAAACCCGAATAATTTTAAGCCTCAGCCGCAAACCCCAGACCGCAAACCGTGACCTTGAGTCATTTCGAAACAAGAAGCCCAACGCCCCAAGCTTTTGCAAGAGTCAGGAACGCTCAAAGGAACTTTACACAGCCCAAAGGAACCTTAACCTTAAATTAAAACATCCTAAAACCGTACAAAAACTTAAAGTATCCCCAGAACCCAAACCCAAAGCCGTTGCATTGCAGGTTTCAGGAGGTCTTGAAGAGTTACCAAGTGGCTGAGGAGGCCGCTCTCGCACATGCGCAGCTCCAGGCCTGGGTTCAAACTGGCAATCGCCTTCCGCAATAATACGGGTTTTGGAGGGTTAGAGGTTAGAGGGTTCCTTTAAGGGTTTTTTTGAAGGGCTCAAAAAGGGTTTTGGGCTCAGGGTGTTAAGGACTTTTGTGTAGAATTCTACATGGTTTGATCGGATTCCATAACGTTTGATAACGTGTCATAGAGTCATAGAGTAGTATAGAGTGTTATAGGGTTCAATGAATAAGGGTTTGGAGAGTATTGGGTTAGGCATGGGAAGTCCGGAAGCAGCAGTCTTCGGGCTTGACGTTTTTGCGAGGTTTTATCGAGCTTTACGGTTCGGCTTAGGAGTTTTATTTGAGCATTTTAGTAAGCCTTTGATTTTGAGGTTTGGGAGTTAAAGGGTTTTATTTGGATTGAAGGATTATGAGGTTGAGCTTGTCGCGGGTTGGGGGCTGTTCCTCAAAGGGGGTTGCGGATTACTTACAGGGCTTCGCGATTTAGGGCTGTAGGTTTTAGTCTTTAGGACTCGGGGGCATTTTGGCTTGGATGCTGTTTGATTTTGGCGGGGGTCCACAGGTGCTCTGTTTGGGCTTATTCTTGGTCTGTCACCGAGTTGGAGAGCTTTGAGGTTCAGGATTTGTTTCTCTTTGATCCCTAGACCCCAAGCCCCGACATTGGTTTATAGGGCTCTTGTGCTCATTTTAAGGCTCGAGCCTTCTGGACCTGTCGTTTCGGTGGTATGTTCTAGACTTCGCGAGTAGGGTTATATCTATACTTATTATAGTCCGAATTATATAGGTGCTTATAATTTTGCGTACTTACCAAGTCTAATGATCATTTTTGAAGCAGAATATCAGAATATCTCATGGTTGAGGCTGGTACATGTAGTCTGATTTTCACAGCGGCAAGAGACCGATCTTTGAAGCGCCTGAATTAAAGCCCAAAGTCTGAACCCCGAAACCGCAACTCAAAAACAAACGCAATTCTGGAGACCCGATTGATAAGACCTACTAGAAGAAGAAACTAATTGTATCTAACTACAATCTTTGAACCCGAAACCCTAAAGCCGAATCACATTTCAGCTCGAAAGGCAGCTGATCTCCTGCTCCCGGCGATCGCCGCAGTGGATTCCATCCGGGCACCCGTGTGTTTTAAGGGATTAAGGTTTCGTGTTTGCAGGGTTCAGCTGGTCTGAGCTAGGGGTTCATATTAATATTTGGAGGGTTAGTCGATTTATGAAAAGGCTCATGGTTGTGGACTTGAGGTGTAGGTGTTCGGCTTTCAGTGTTTACCATTCCTGACTCGAGCTGTTGCGTGGGTGCAATGTTACAAGACGCAACAGGCTAACATAAACCCTAAACCCGGCGGTGGAGCTTCGTGCATTTTACGTCCGCAATGGCGTGGTGGTGGGCTTGCGGCTCTTTGCTGGTGTTGTTCTTGAACCAGGACCCCCCAAGAACGCTACCAGAAATCCTACACAGGCCTTAACCTACACAAATCTGGGGGTTCCTGATTTATTAATATTGTATAATGGGCCCCAAAACCCTATTCTAATTTTTAAGCTGATAGTCAGAATAAACCCTCGCTTGCGAAAACGGGTCCGCATTGAAGTATCCGGGGTCCTTATACTGAGGATCCTGCGGAACATCCGATAAGCCGCTTTCAAGAGCAGCCCAAATGCCGAAGACCCTAAACCTTAAACCCAAAACCCTAAACCCTAAACCCCTAAACCCTAAACCCCTAAACCAGAAGAACTTATCATCAAACGATTTGCCTTTCGGGTGGTTTGTGTCATTGTGGTCCCGGTATACCGCTTTGGGACCGTCTGATGCGTGCTGAAAGAATTTGTTCCGTGGTTGGGGTGTGACCTGCGGTGTGTGGCTCAGGGTTGTGCGTTTCAGGGAGATTGAGGGAGTAGGTTTACAGGTGTTCTGAAAGCCTTCCCGCTTTGAACCAGGCCGCCATGTCTGGCGGTGTGCTTCGTGACCTCTCGGAATACGTCGCTTGGGCAGGGCTTTAAGTTACAAGTTTATCTGCTGGTTTTTGCTTCGTCTATTTATTTGTTGGTAGGAGGGTCGGATTCTGTACGGTTTTTTTCTTTAGTTTCGGGCCCGGGGCCGCAGTACAAGGATTCAGCGTAGGGGTCCAAAGTACTTATAGTGTAGAAGGCAGGGTTTCTATAATAGGAATTACTATGAGCTACTATTATATTCCCTAAACCCTAAACCCTAAACCCTAAACCGTTATGGGGGGACTGTCCCCCCATAACAGCCTGGGACCCTGTGGACGAAGAAGCCTTAAAAAAAGAAGCTCTGAAAGCCCAAGAACACACTAAACCCCAAACCCTAAACCCCAAACCCCACGCCCTAATCCCCAAAATCCTAAACCCTAAACCCTAAATCTTCTCAAAGCCAAAACCGAGGACACCATCCACCGACTGCTGCAGCCCCACTTCCGAGGGCGCGGGATCCTCGAGGACTATGTGGGCTACATGAGTTTAGGGTTTTGGGGTTTGAGGGTTTTGGATTTTAGATGTTAGTGTTTAGGCTTGAGGGTTTTAGGGTTTGGGCTTTTTTCTTGTTACGCCTGAATCAGCTCAGGGTTTTAGAGTTCGAGTGTTTTGGATTTTGGATGTTAGTGTTTAGGCTTGAAGGTTGTAGGGTTGGGATTTCGGATGTTACGGTTTAAACAGTTTAGGGTTTTAGGGTTTAGGGGCTTGGATTTGGGTTTGCGGGGGTTTAGGTTCCATCGGTTTAGGTTTCAGGATTTGGGGTTTAGGGTTTACAGGTTCTATCGGTTTAGTGTGTAGGGTTTAGGGGTGTACGAGTTTTACGGTTTGGTGTTTAGGGTTTTGGTTTAGGGTTTATGGTCTAAATTAGTGTCTTCTTGAACTGTAAGATAGGATGTGTACCGTTACCTGTCACACCCTCAACTCAACTCAAAACTAACTCCGGCACTCGGATATCCGAGCTATTTCGTGTGCAAGGAATTCAAGTCCGTTTTTTGAACTGAGGGGTTCTAAGACACTGAGGTTGGCATAGTTCACAGTAGCATGTCACCCCGATGGCGAAATCCTGCACCCGGTGAGCCCACTACTCCAAGCTCCAAACACACCCCGGCCGGAGCACCAGACAAAGTGAGTCTTGAGTAACTTCGTGGTTTTCAGTTGATTCCCCTAAGTTCCCATACAGGTGTCAGGCCTCTTTAGGGTTTAGGGTCTTGTGTTTTAGGGTTTCGGGTGAAGGGAGTCATACGGCTGGTGATATAAATCCTGCATTACCTTAAGGACCCTAAACTATGCTGTCTTCCTCATTATGGGTAATGCAGGATTTATAGCAGGAACCCCTTAGAGGTACCCTTATAGATCCCTTTAAAGGAACCTCAGGATTTATAGCATCACCCGCATCTTAGCGAGGAGATCGAGCTGGCGGCGCCACCGACCGAGACGCCTGGATCAGTGCCCGGCAGAAGCTATGGGGCCGGTTGTCTAGTCTTGAGCCCAAAGGCTCCATGTAGCAAAAAAAATCAGTATATACCTTGGCCCTAAAGTACCCACATGGGGATTACTTTAAGGCTTATGTATATACTATATGAGTACATGGAGCCTTAGGGGAACTGGTTTGACTTGTGGTCAACAAGTTTCAAAATGTGTCTCTATAGTATAGAGAATTCGTGAGGTCTGCCCGTGGTTTCGGCTGAGTTGTGCAAGGCAAGATCCTCAGCATTCATTGTACTATCCATCCTTATAGAACGCTTACAGGAGCCCTCATAGTAAGTCGTAATAGAAGCCCATAAAGTAACCTGTATACAGACCCTTGTAGGAGTATAAACCCAGGTGCTCCTCAAGCGCATATCGCCGGACGGGGACATCGCAGTCTTGACGGATTCCTGTCTCATCTGGGCGTGCTTTGTGCAGGATGCATGTTCCTAACCGTCAAAAGACCACGTTTGCAACCAGCAGCCGCGCACTTGGACGCGGACCCGCATGACCCATTCCTGAACTCCTTAAGGGTGCATGTACCTATATTATCTACTGTGGGTCTTAAAGTGAATGTTGTGTGGCATCCGGGAGACTCCCGGATCCGATCACTTCAGTTAAGAATAGCTAAGCGTTCTGTCAAGAGCTCGCTAAACCCTAACAGCCCCAATCAATCCTAAACCTTTTAGAAGTCTAGCCGAAACCCTGCCCCTAAACCCTAAGCCCCAACAGCCATACTTGTATAAATCGTACATAAACCCTAGCAGCCCCAAGCAATGCCAAACTCCTGCGCCCCAAGCCCTGAACTTCAACTCCCACAACCTGAAGCCTAGTTCCCAAACGGTTGTGCGGCAAGTTACCCAGGGGCTAAGAGAGCCATGGTTGAGCCTTTATACTGTCGTGGCTCCAACAACCATGCTATGTTCGGGGCGGGTTCACCCCTAAACCCGAAACATCCCTAAACCCTTTGACGTTTGAGACAGGGCTGAAGAGGTTGATGTGTTTTTTTTTATCCGGCGTTTAGGGTTTAGTTTAGGGTTCTTGTTACTTATTAGTGAAGCCCAATGAAGCTCAAGTAGGCCTTGGTATCTGCTTTAGTGTTCAGGGTTGCGGTTTTCCAACAGGCTCCTAAACCCCCAAGATTGCGCCACACAGCTTCAAATGCAGGGGGAGTCCTAATCTGATTTCAGCTCTACCTAGAGGGCCCAGCTTTTTACCCTCCACCCTGGAAGCCCGAGCGGCTTCTAAACACCCTCGCCCAAGGACAGAGAAGATTGCCACCTCGTTGCTGGTATGCGCGGCTGCGCTGCTGCAGCGCTGTCGGCCGCCACAGCCGCACGCCGAAGAAATGGGTCGCCATCATTTTGTTTCAGATAAGGAGCGTTTTTGAACGACAGCCGGCCGTGAAGATGAAGATACGTCAAACATGTCGTAGAGGCAAAGGCTCCATGTACCTTTGTAGTAGATACTTAAGCCTTAAAGGGCTCCGTATATGGGTACTTTAAGGCCTAAGTATATACTATTTAGGCACATGGAGCCTTAGTGAGAGGCTCCTGAGCGAAGCAAGATGGGCATCCTCAGACCGGACCGAGCCTGAAAACTCCAAAGCCCAAACCCAGAGAGCCTTATACCCCTTGAGTAAGGAATAGAGCTTAAGGCCCAGGGCTTCCGCAAAGGGATCTATAGGGTTTCTATGAGGGAGTTGAGGAATAGAGCTTAAATCATAATATGAAGCCCTATATAATTTAAGCCATATTCAGCCATATTCCTTAATTAAGGGGTATTGGGTTCTCTGTGGGAAGCTGTTACCCTACCGTAAGCGTCTGAGAATCCAAGGGGATAATCAACCCATAACCCCCCAAATGCCAAGCCACATTGCTCCTATCCTAAAGCCTAAAGCCCTGTAACCACTCGTCAGGTACTTTAGACCCTGAAAACCGTAGAAAGCCCGCAAAGAAGCCTCCTACATACCTGTCTAGAACCAACCAGTATGATCCTAAGGCCCTAGTTTCCTTCAATGGGGAGACCTTCCGAACCTAAATCCCTGAACTCCAGACCCGAAGCCGTAATATAGGGGCCTCAATAATTACCTATACTATTTCGGGGGTTCCTTGTTACACTTATAGTTTAATGGGCCCCAAAACCTTATTCTAGCTATTGAGGCCCCTATGTTATAGTACCCTTTTAGTATCCCTCATAGTAGACCCTTTAAAGGAACCCTATTCTACTTATTAAGGCCCCCATAGTACCCCAACTAAGAGCCTGAAGCCTGCCAGGGCGACTGGTACAAAGATGGCTTTGGCATCGACAAGCCTTGGTCCTACGTGCCTCCGGACCAGCCACTGGCCATGCTTAGAGAGTTGAGGTTTGAGGAGACTTGCAAAAGGCCTTCGAAAACGAATCTATAGAGGTTCGCAAGGTCGTATGTAGTATACCGATATGTACCGTTCGTTGGTTATGCGTGGAGGCTGAAGAATCCCTGATTGGGGTGTCTATCCCTAAGGCTCCTGTACCAAAACAGTATATACTTAGGCCTTAAAGAACCATGTAGGGAGCCCTTTAAGGCTTAAGTATCTACTATAAAGGTACATGGAGCCTTTGGGCATAGACATATACTTATAACTTCCAAAAGTCCTCTCATCCACCAAGTTGAGTTCTAGGCTTGATGGGGCTCATCTGCACACCCATGTCAAGAACACTTTTGCAGCCACGCACGGCGCCAGAGGTGTACGTTGCAGGTAGAGCTAAAGGCTACCGATGTGCTGCAGCTGGCAGTTTCATCGCTGTGTATCCTTTGCGCCACCTCGCCTTGTCTGAGAGGAATGCGTTCAATTCAGGTTGAGCACAAGCTCCAAAATCATCACCCAAGCCCTACGAAACTCAAACCTCTAAACCCAAAACTCCTGAACCTAAACCCTGAACCCAAACCCACGAAAATCCCCACGACGCTAAAGCAACCGTGTTCGCATCTCAGGTTCTGGCGGGGTCCTCTCTTCATTCGGGACAGCGGCTGGGATACATCTACCACAGTTTTGTTGTCAATGTAGCCCCGCTCGACTCCGAACGACACACTACATCGCCTGTCTTGAACCCAAAGGCTCCATTGGAGCTTTACAGTAGATACTTAAGCATTAGAGGGCTCCCTATATACGTACTTTAAGGCCTAATTATATACTATATGGGTACATGGAGCTGTAGGGGAAGGGCCGACATAAGAAGGTCCCCAGTCAATTGCTTGTGAAAGGATGCAGGCGCTAATACCCAGAGCCTCCAAAACCCCTTAATTAGGGAATACCTAGGGGTTCCTTTAAGGGATCTATAAGGGATCTATAGGGTTTAGGGTTTAGGAGACTCCAAAACCCCTTAATTAGGGAATATACCTTAAATCGTATAAGGGACCCTATTATAATTGAAGGTATATTCCTTAATTAAGGGGTTTTGGAGGCTCTGGGTAATCTGCGGTCGTAACACCGAGATTTCAGGGTTCAGGGTTACAGAGCCATAGGCGCGACCATCCTTACTCTTTCAATCCTTAATCCTCCATTCCTAGCCCAGAGACTCCCATATCCCTTAATTAAGGAATATACCTTAAACTATAGTATAGGGATCCTATTATAATTTAAGGTATATTCCTTAATTCCTTAATTAAGGGATATACCTTAAATTATAGTATAGGGATCCTATTATAATTTAAGGTATTATTCTTAATTCCTTAATTAAGGGATATTGGAGTGTCTGGGAAACCCCTAAACCCAAAGCCCTAAATCCCTGATCCCCAAACCCTAAAGTCACACCCGAAACCCCAAACCCTAATCCCCAGGTTTTGCTGTCGGTTTAGGCTTTAGGGTTTAGGGTTTAGGGTTTAGGGTTTTGCTGTCTGTCACAATCCCCCCCAAATTCAGAGCCTGGGTGGAAGTGTTGACTTTAATTAGGGTTCAAGGTGTTGGGGCTTTTTCCCAGAGATTCCGCAACCCTTTTACGAAGTGACGTACCTTCGATCATGAAAAGGATCCCCTCTAAGACAACAACACCAAATCCTTAAATGAACCCTCCAAGGAGCCACTAAAGGAACCCTTAAACGAACCCCTTGGGAGGATCAAGGCCCTTTGCAGGTATGGCAGATGTAGACGGGTCATCTGAAATAAAAGGGGTTTGATCTAACTTAGAAGGTCGTCCAACTCGCTCTGGTTTTCACGGACTTACCAATCCCTTAATGCTTCGTGATGATGGCCCTTTCAGGGTTTCGGGTTTAGAGAAACTCAGCAGCACACACATAATCGCCAAAGTCGGCCCCCACGGAACCCAACCGGCCCCCTTATCCTTGCAGGAAGAACCCTAAGCCTTAAACCCCAACCCCGAAATCTCAGACCTTAAACTCCCTCAGCCCCTAAACTCCCTAAGCCCCTAAGCTGCAAGCCACTAAACCCTGAACTCTAAACCCCTGAACCGGTTTAGGGTTTAGGGTTTAGGGTTTAGGGTTTAGGGTTTAGGGTTTAGGGTTTAGGGTTTAGGGTCCGTAAACCTTACAGCCCCAGAGCCCTAGACAGACACTCTCGACATTTGACCGAAGCTTCAGGTAAAGACCTTGCGGTCTGCCCCACACTCTGCTGGAAGCCTGCCTACATGTTCGCCAGGAGCTCACGGAATAATGATGGTAGATTATGCTAAGGAACCGAATGTTCGGAAGTCTGTTCCTTAGCATCGTGGGTAAACATCCAAACCATTAGTTAAGCTTCTTAAGGCCTCCATATCAAAGCGTTTGGAGTTCTGGATAAGGTCTAGTGTCTAGGGGCTTGGGGTTCAGATTCGGATTGTGGGTAGAATCTAGTAGGGAAGAGTTTAGGGTGGGGACAGTGTTTCGGGAAATACCTGGAAAAGGGTTGAACGCTTGGTTTTGATGAGGTTTGATGTAGTCCTCCGTTCTGAAGGACGACACTGAATGACATGGGTTTAGGATTCAGGATTCTGTAAGCCCCTGGAAGGAAGCAGGCTGTGCCAGAGTCAGTGAAAATTATTTGATTTCTGGGCCTCGGCTGCACCCTACACCCTAAGCCCTGCACACAGCTCGCTGATGAAGCTTCGCTGTGGAGTCAAGGGTGAGTGTGCCCAGAGAGCGCAGAGACTCCAAAACCACTCAATTAAGGCATCTACTTTAAGATCATCATAAAGATCCCACTAGAATTAAGGTTTAATCTGTGGTTCAAGGGTTTTGGAGTCCCTCGGAACATTGAACCAAACACAGCAAACCGAGATTCTCTTTACCCTCGGCTCAGCACTAAGCACTTACTGCTAGCGATTGCACAGCCAACTGGCATGTACCAGACTGCAGCCTTTCAAAACGTATCCGTCTGGTCCTTGTAACACCAATCCCTGAATTCTGAACCAGGACTAAACCATGTCCTAAAAATGCTAAATCCTTAACCCTAAATCTAAACCCCGCAATCCTGAATCCAACCCCGCAAAGCCCCCGAAAGGGGTCGCGAAACTGGAGTCAGAAACACACTGCGTAGTAAGGTCAAACGTGCAAGGGCGGGCGGCGGCCCTCAGACGTGTTTCTGCCGCAGTTCATGTAGGAGTATGAATGATTTCCCATAGTATTCACTACATTATTCCTTGCGTGCCTCGAAAATGTTATATTATCAGATACCCGCCAAACCCCATTTGACGCATTTGACAATTCCTTTTTCGGGCGAGTTTACAAGTGTCCCGAACTCCCTCCTCGGCATTCGTCGGACTGTTTGGTAGGAATATCCCATGCCTCAGATCGCCATTCTAGTTATGAAAGTCTTGAGCCCGAATTTCAGAAACGGATCCTATACTAGTTATTGAAGCGCCCGTTTTCCCAAACCCCAAGTTTTGCAGCCCGAAGGTCTGGATTCCGTCTAGTAGCCCGTGCAACACCCCAACCCAGAGACTCCAATACCCCTTAAAAAAGGAAGATGGCTTAGATTTTATTAGGGATTCCATTATAATTTAAGGTATATTCCTGAATTAAGGGATATTGGAGTCTCTGGGAAGTCCTGACTTAAGGCTTTGGAACCCAGAAAGGACCCAAAGTCATACAATAGGGAGTGCCTGGGCACCTAGGGTGCCGGCAAGGGTGTGGTACTTACAACTCTGGCTGTTTGTATATGCGGAGCATGGTGATTTTTGACACCCCAGTTTCGTGTAGCACGCCTATTCACCCTAATGCAGTCTGAGGGTCATCACGTACCACGATGGCATTCCAGAGCCGGCTGAGGACCCCGGTCAGCAATGTGCGGTAGCCGTTTGGGGTTTTAGGAATTTGGGGTTTAGGTTTTTGGGTTTGGCAGTGTAGGAATGGGGGTTGAAGGTTGTGGTTCAGGGTTATCTGTTTTGGGGGGATTTTGTATAGCGGTTGTGGGTTCTAGGTGGCGGCTATTGCGCAGGCATTAGGGCCCAGCCATATGAGTTCCAAAGTTGAAAAGTAGGCAAAGGTTCGGTAGCAAATCCTGTGCTGATATATTATGTACTTTGGCCTTAACGTGTAGTCATTCCCCATGTAGGTACTTTGGGGCCAAAGTATTCACTGGTTGGGTATGTGGACCCTTAAGGTAAACCTTTGGTAGCAAAAGCCGAGAGCACCAGGAGCCAGCGTCCAATGCCACCACGGACTTGACGGAAGTCCTCGTGCGGGTGGTGATGCGCCTTAGCCGCAGTGGGCCAGGGAGAACTAACTATCGACCCGCAGCCCAAATCTTTCACCTACAAACCCAGAAGATCTGCGAATCAACAACGAACAGACCCTGCCAATGCGCTTCGAACAAACGTCAATCTGGTTATCGCTCGCGGTTTGGGATGTAGAGTTTAGGGTTAGGGTTTAGTTAGCAGGTAAGCGGTACCGGTAATCTCCCTCATCCTTCAAACGTTAACTTTCCGGGCCCCCACCCCCCGCCCACCCGTCCAGGTGCAGACGGTGCATCATCACGAGTAGGAATGAGAGCACCTTCCAGTCAAATACGTTGTCCAAGCAACAAACAGCCCAAAGGCTCCATGTACCTTTATAGTAGATACTTAAGCCTTAAAGGGCTCCCTATGTAGGTACTTTAACGCCTAAGTATATAACATATAGGTACATGGAGCCTTAGAGAAACAGCATGGGCCACGAAGCCAAACCTCTATAAACTCTAAACCCCTTCACTCCTCAACCCCAAGCTGTGACCCCTAAACCCTTAAACCCCTAAACCCCTCAACCCCTAAACCCTTAAACCCCTAAACCCTTAAACCCTAAACCACTAAACCCCAAGCTCTAAAGCCTACGGTAAACCCTTAACTTCTACTTAGAGGATCATGGGACTTAGTATGTAGGTTTATAACTGCGTTTATTAGGGTTATAAGTAGATATAATTATAGCTACCTTACTTATAACCCTAGTTGCAAAGTCCCTTGATCCTTTAAGTAGTCCTTCTGGGCCTTAATAGAAGCCCCTTACAGGTGGGTAGTTCTTCTTCCATAGTACTCCCATAAGACCCCCTTTACCTTATAGGAGTGGTATGGGAGGCTTATGGGAAACTACCCACCTTATAACTACCCACCTGTAACAGCTTAGACAGCAAGCTTGGGCCCTAAACCCTAAACCCTAAACCCCCTAAACCCTAAACCCCCTAAACCCTGAACCCTAAACCCTAAACCTCTTAGACTTAAGGGAAATCCTTTGCGAGGTCATCTGCCATCTTCCAGGCAGATCTGGGGTTCCTTCCCTATTTAGGATGTTCAGTCTGGGAGTTTCCGAAAATTGGGGGGTACCTTCGCGTTCCTTTAAAGGGATCTATAGGGGTTCCTTTAAAGGGATCTACAAGGGTTTTATAAAGGGATTAAGGTTTAGAGTTTCCGAAAAGTGGGGGGTACCTGGTTTTGGGCTTCTTATACTAAGGATCCTACTATTTAGGGTACTATATTGGGATTCCCTGTCTAGGATGTTCAATCGTTACCCAGGGACTCCAATATCCCTTAATTAAGGAATATTGGACTTAAGAATCGTTCAGGGTTTAGGGTTTAGGGAGGGGTGTAGGGTTTCCCGTTAAGCCTGCTTAAGAATTGTTCAGGGTTTAGGGTTTACGGAGGGATTTAGGGTTTCCTGTTTAGGATGTTTAATCAGTAGAGCCGATGGGGTAGAGGAACGTTGGCCTTGTGTAGGGTTAAACGGTTTCTGTGGCTGGACCCTCCCCCCCCCCTCCCCCTCCTCCCCCACCTCCACACCGACCACCCGATCACCCCCCACTCCAACAGGGTTGTTGGGGGTTTGTGGACTGGAAGGGGGGGAGTGGGTTGTTCAGGATGTGGGGCGGGGCCCGCGCCCCCCGCGCCCGCTCGCATCCAGCACAGGCCCTGGTTGTCCCCGGGGGGGGAGGGGGGGGGGGTCGTCCTCGGGTGGAGGAGGGTAGGGTTTAAAAGATGAGAGTAGGGATGCGTGATTCTGGGTGGAGGAGGGTCGGGCGTAGTGTAGAATACCAAGTCGTATCCTGAGAGGGACGTTCGGTTTGGGGTTCAGGGTAGTGGTAATTCAGGATGTAGCAGATGTATATAGGTTTCTGGCGTTCACGATGGCGCAGACTTCATGAGGAACGAAATCGCGAGTAAAAGTTCCAGAAACACGCCCCTAAACCCCAAACCCTGAACCGACATCGCTTAGTTTTTGGGGAAAAAGGCTAGGTGTTTAATACTGAGCTCTGAGCTTCTACGACTCAAGTTCCACCCATGACCCAGACACCCCGACCCCAATTCCTAGGAGCCTTGACTTAACCCTAAAGCACGCAGCCTAAAGCCGACTGACGAAATTCAGGCAGGCCTTCTTGCAGAACGCAAAACTACTATTTGCTTAAGAACCACCCAAAAAATAAAAAATACTAACCCCTATATTATCCCTATAAGGAATATATTTTTATTTTTGGGGGGTTCTTAAGCAAATAGTAGAAAAGGACTCAGTAGAGTAGCAGTTCTGGGCCCTGGTCAGACATGTTAGGGATTACTTGCCCGAACTACATTGTTGATAGGAAGCGAATGTACACTGCTAATGACAATCTCATGCTTTTCATTGTTTTGTTCGTAGTATTATTCTTCCATCATCAGTAGTTTCGTTGTCCTACCCCCATACGCCTCAAAGCCTAAGCCCTAAAGCAATACTGTAATGCCCTCGAACATTCAATCGTAAAGATCTAGAGCCCGCAGCCGTAACAAGGAGCTGCTTTGAAGGCCTTACCAAGCTCTTGCATCATAGGGACCCTTAGGACTATACTTCCTCAAATAGGGCTTATTAGGTCCTTTGTTATGAGTATTAAGGTCAACATCGCGGCAATGAGGCCTTTGCTTCTCAGCACGATGAGCAAGCTGGAGCTTTGCCAGCTGGAAGATGCAAAGGCTTGGCGTCAGGCGATGGCCGATGTGCAGGACCATCACTATGGCGTCACGGTGATCATCAATGGCCTGCTGAAGGAGAAGTGGAGAAGTGGTGGCCGACATCCGTGTCTTGTATCAGGGGCCGCCGGCTTAGGAGACCCAAGGTGCGAGGCTTTTGTAGAAACTCAAGCTCCGAGGGCCATGATCCGTGCGGGTCTGGCGGAGGTTGGAGAACTGTGGCTGGCAACGACCGCGGTGTACGGTTTCCAGAGCAGCCCGAAGTGGTGGAGCCAGCACCGGAATGCCACAACGGCCAAGGCGAGTTGCCCTACCCCCGCTCCCCCCAGCCCCCGAAGGGCCCTTATGAATACAGAGCCTAACCCAATACAGCCAGACAACAAGCGACAACACAAATTTCATGATCCCCAAACCCTATCTAACCCTAGAACCTAAACCCTCAAATCTAAGGGCCAAACCCTAAACCCACAAACCCTAAACCCTAAAAACCCCAAACTCAACGCCCCTAAACCGTCGTTCTACGACTACGGTAGTTTCACTCAGTTGAGGGCAAAATTGCCAGCTTCGCTTTGAAGAAAGAGGGGCACATCAACTTAAAAAAAAAAACCGTCGTTCTTCCAAGTCTGGCAGACAGGACCTTGTGGAATCGGCCGCTGCCCTGAGTCGCGGAGAGGTTGGGGGATTGGTTCTATGTAGGGTCTGAGAGGTAGGGTTGAGGGTTTAGGGTTTAGGGTTGAGAGTTTAAATTTTAGGGTTAAGGGTTGTTTGGGATTTAGAGCATGTAGGATTTAACGTCTTATGGATATGCTAATCAGGTACTCTGGGGGCTTTGGGTTTAGATCGCTTTAGGATATTTTGGGTTCAGGGCTTTTCGCGATTTAGGAGTCAGGGGTGACCGTTTTTGTGTTGGTGTTGTGTGTGTGTGTGTATGCACTGGTGCGTTTAAGTTGGGTTCAGGGGTTTTGGGGCATAGGGCTGTGGAGTCTTAGCTTGAATTAAGGCGAGTGCTGTAGGGCTTATGGGGTCAAGGTCTTTGTGCTTCCTTTTCATGTTATACTTTGCAATTCGATCGTTAGGGCACGCGGCCTTAGTCTGTATTTGCCACTGAGTTCGGGCTTGAGGCTTCCAGGCAATCTGAGCTTGCATATCCGAATGGCCCAGAGAGCCCAATATCCCTAAATGAAGGAATATAGCTTAATTAGATCATAATATGAAGGCGTACATAATTTAAGCCATAGTCCTTAGTTAAGGGGTATTGGTCTCTCGCGAGGCGAGATGTGGTTTCCGATTCAACTGACACTTCCCCCAGTCTCCAAGAAAACAAGCAGTACCTATGTCATGTTGGGTTGAAAGTCTCTAGATAGTACCACTGAACCCTAGCTCTAAAATGGAGCCCTGATGGTCTTGAATAGTGGGTATTTATAGGGTATAATAGAGGGTAGTTGGGGGGTCTAACAACATCCGAACCCTCAAACCTCAAAACCCTCGGCTAAAACCCAAAGCCTAAACACCAAACCCCGAAGCGAGGGCCACCGACAGAGGTCAACGGATTGAAGCTCCACAAGTTGACGTTAATTTGTTGGGCTACTGTTTGGAGTCTCCGAGTATTCAGAGGCTCGTACAGGACTCCTACATGGTTTTGCATTTTCCACAGCTCAACTGCCCAACCGTTGCGCAAGAGCGCATGTAGATGGGCCTGGAACCTGGACCTTAGTCCCTGAACCCTACTAGAACCTGGACCTGAATCCCTGAATCCTTCACAGTTTAAACCCCGCATCCCATCCAGCAGGCGATCCTGGCGACCAGCAATGGTGACGTAATCGCATCAGCGGACATGGTGCGGCTCTGAGTACGGTCTAGGCATCATATATGCGACCGAATACTTGGTCATCAGATTCCTAAGGCTGCCTTATCCTGACCATACTACAGTTATATGCCCCCGGAAAGCTCATTTTGTAATCAGTAAGTCCCTTATAGTGAGGCTCTACTAAGGGTTCCGATCCTTCCTTTATGAGCTTCTTACGGGGTCCTGCCAAGGGGTCTACACATGATCTCGGAAAGCTTATTCAAGGGTTAAGGGTTTTAGGGTCTAGGGTGAGGTTCGGGGTTTTTTGGGTTTATGTAGGATTTGGGTTTCGGGGGCAGGGTTTGGGGTTTAGAATTGCAGAGACGCTTGCAAGTCTTCGAGTGCAAAGATATACTCCGAGCTCCCCCACTTCAAGGACTCTGTATTGCCCAGAGGCTCCACGTACCCAAATAGTAGGGTTTTAGATCCCAAAATCCATACTCTGAATGGTTTTTGGGACTTAAAGCCCTCTTATTTGAGTACTTGGACCCTCTGTATTAATCGACTGCAAACGCTCTGGACTTGTCTGATCCCTACAGAATATGTACTTTGGCCCTGAAGTATCTAAGTAGGAATCCCCTTCAAGGCGTGAGTATAGACTATACAGGTACATAGTCTCTTAGGGGGTATCAAGGGCTTCGGATAGCATGCCAAATGTATGCTCAGTAGGCATTTGGGGGCTCCGAACTAACGGTTTTGAAGCATCGGTAATTTGTCTTCAGAATATGAGCGGGACCAAACCCAGACATAAACGAGAAGCTGGATTTCCGTCGTCTCCCGAGGTTTCTACAGGCGTAAGTATTACGTAGGATCCCCAGACATGGCTCTGTATTAGTTCAGGGACCCAAAAAGCACATAAGCATAAGCATTTTACCGGGATATCCCTACCTTACTGGGCTTCATTATAAGGGGCTTATATGGGATATCCCTATCCTAATTTTTGCTTATGTGCTTTTTTGGGGCCCTATTACTTGAGTGCCAACTATCGGTTTCTAACCCCCCGTATAAACCCTACCCAGGCATCCGCCGTTAAGATTGACATGGACACTGGCAACCTCGTCGTGGGACACTTGGCAGAGCCTTATTCTTGCACCCCGAAGCTCCGAAGCGCTACGTGAGTCATCTAAAGCCTACGGTTGATCATGATATCTTCGCGTATGTTCTTGACTCGACAGCCTGTTTCTTTTTGTGGCGGAAATCAAGTATCTAAGCCGTCATCCATGAGCCCAAAACCTCTTTTACAGAGCTCCCATAGATCCTTGGAAAGGTTTCTGAAAGGAGCTGTGAAATTAATTAATTATATTATAAATTATATCCCAGAGATTCCGGGTGGTAGGGTCCGAGGCCGTGGTTCTGTGGCCCTGCGCAGTATCTAGGACTTCGAGCATCGTATCCAGACCGGATGGCGATGATGCAAAGGAACACTAGGATATCACTTTGCTACAAACTCGAGGGGCCTTATTCATTAGAGTAGGGTTTCGGGTAAAAATTATAGTATAACTATGATAAGGAACCCGGCGGAATACTACTGATGGCAACTAGTCAGGCTGAGTCACGCTTCTACATCGGGCTCTCCTTGCAGGTTTCAACATGGTTAAAGGGGTATAGGATGAGGGTGACGATGATGACGACGACGGCGACGACCGTGATGAAGGTTACAAAGACAGGACAACGATTCAGACGAATGTGTTAGCGTTGCTGCCATGACAACCAGAATGCCACGATGGTGTTGAACAATGAAGCTGATGTTGTTAGCCGTAGTGGTGGTCATGGTGATGGTGGTGACATGTGGTGAAGAACAAGAAGAGATGGTCCCGTATTGTGGGCCGAATTATTTGCCAATGCTATGTAGAGGTTCCTTCTTATAATTATAGTATAGTGCGCCCCAAAACCCCGTCCTAATTATTTAGGCCCTATAGTACTGTATAGGCACATGTATTCTTGCACTGGGGAACTGTGCCCAAACTCCGATTGCCCCGCCGAACAACTCGGATTCTCGTCGAAATCCGGCCTACTGGGCATTTGGGGGTTTGGGTTCCCTAAGGGGTTGCGGTGTCGCTGCGATAAGGATGATGCTTGTGCTCAGTATGCCGAACCCAAAATCCGAAATGCCAGACCCTAAGACCTCAAACCCAAACCCTAAACCCTCAACCCTAAATCATCAACCCCAAACCTAAACCCCTCAGGAAAAGTTCAGGAAGCCTCGACCAACTGGGCACGCGACATCAGCGAAGAGCTAGCGGCCAGGCTGGTTTAAATGACTGTCCCTCAAGTTAGAGGCGCCTTCATAATTGGTTAAGGTTTAGAATCAGGGGTTGAAAGAGATTCGGGTTTAGCATACTGCGTCTTCGTACTTAAAAACAAGGGCCCCTTACAAGCCGATAGAGAACCGAACAAGACAAGGTACGCCTTCATTCATTGGTCTTGGGGTGCCAGGTAGGGGTCACGGGTACAAGGCCTACGCGGTAGAGGGGCTGCATAGTTCAGCTTATGGGTTTTTACAATTTGGCCCACAGGTCCATTCGAGTGCTTGGTTCGCTTCAGTAGAAGCGTCAAGAAGCTTGATAAATCAGAAACACACTGCTGAAATCCCCGAATGAACATTAAGAATGAGTATTGTAAGGTCGGGAAAATTCAGGTTTTGTAGAATTGTGTGTACTGTCTCAACGAACTTCGGGCTGGTGTTCCTTCTCGTAGGAAGACGAAGCGCACCCACAAACTCCGTAGCGGCCACCCCAAATCCGACAGTCTGAGCCCGAGATTGGGTCTCAGAAAGATTGAAACTTAAGTTTAAGAAAGTAGCTCGATATATAGCTTCACTATAATCTACTTCAAGACCTCCTTACCCATCTGGCCCTCATAGTAGGATGGTGCGACTGTCTGAGGTCTCCAATGGTGCGAAGGGAAGGTACGCAGAGTCAGGCCAGGTTTTGGAGATCCATCGAAACCGCTAGACACTCATGCAATAGGATACTGCTCCCATAAAGCCCCAGCATGCCAGTCCAGTACGTCATATAGGCAACTGGGATTCTGACAGCCCTCGTCTTCCTTTCTTCCCTGGCCGATTGATGCATCCATGATACATAGCCGATACTTCTCCTGGTGCCACTGATGCTTAGAGGGGACGCGCTGCTGCTGCTCCTACTACCCCTGCTACTGCTTCTGCTACTGGTGCTGCTGCTGCGGCTGCTGCTGCTGCTGCTGCTGCTGCTGTTGCTCCTACTACTACTGCTGCTGCTACTAGCGCTGCTGCTGCTGCTACTGCTACTGCTACTGCTACTGCTACTACTACTACTACTACTACTACTACTACTACTACTACTACTACTACTACTACTAGGCCTACTACTACTACTACTACTACTACTACTACTACTACTACTACTACTACTACTACTACTACTACTGCTTCTAGTACAACTACAACTACTACTACTACTCCGATTTTTCAATTGAACGCTGCGCGAGCGTGCTCTGCGCTTTGCGGGCGCCTTTGGTCTCGTGCACTCGTGAAACTGCTGTTAGCATGCATCGCTCGTACCTCTCTAAACTGCTCAAACTTCCGAAAACTACAACTACAAAAACTTCCTCCTCCGACACCTTGGTGTGTACAGACGCGTCCATCTGTGCACCTGTCTCAACAATTAGGCCGTACCTCAGACGAAGCCGACACCTGGAGTATCCGTCTCGTGGCGTCCCACACGGATTACTCATGCTGAAGACAGAAGGCCGTAAGGGTCATGTGCACGTGCCCGCATGTACCTGCATGCATCGCCGATGGAGTCAGACAGTTGGCAACTTTGACGTGGGCAGCTCTCAGATGCAGCGGCGTGCTGTTTGTAAGCAAGACTAGCTCGCGGCTCACAGGCTTCCGAAGAGATTTGCTGAGCGTCGGAAGAGTTCCTAATTCCCAGAGTCTGTGACATAAGGGATCAGAAAGTCTGTGACATATCTCTACCCTCACTGGTCGTGACCTTTTGGCCACTGCTGGGAGGAGTGGTAGTAACCGTGCCAGGACCACTGCTGCCACCAATCCCAGTCGTCCTCCTGGGAGGAGCGTGCCTGCCTGGCCCACTGGGTCGAGACTGAAGAGGAATGGGCGCAGCGGCAGCAGCCAGTTTGGCCATGCGCTTGTCTTCCTCGTGCCCCTTGTCATGCTGAATCCGCATCTTCATGATGGAGTAGGCATCTTTGTTGGGTTTGACCCTGAAGATGCTGCCGGAATTCCTTCTCGTCCCACATCTTGGTGAAGCAGGCATGGATAAGACCATGCACCTTTGTGGGAGCATCCAACTCGCGGTAGGCTCCTCCCGAACCTGTGGCTATGGTCACCTTCCCATCGCTGGTGAGGACCCGCCGCACAGACATGGCGATGTCCCATGTGAGGCCTGACTGTGTCTTTACCGACTTGATGGCCGAAAACAGCGGAGGTACCTCGCGGAGTGCCTCCATCCTGGTAGACCAGAGGGTCTGCTGCTCGTGGTTGGTGAGGCCTCCGAGAATAACTGGAGCCACCAGGATATTGATGGAAGCCAATGCCCGAATCCAGTCCTGGTGGGACTGGGAACTCAGCAGTTGAGCCAGCTCCTGCCTCGTGTATCGTACTGTCTTTGGTGGAGCCGGCTGTGGAACATAGCCAACTGGTTCCGCATTTGTCTCCGGGGGCTCATATGCTGACGGGGGACGGGAGGAAGGAGGGGGGGGCGTGAGGGAGCGCTGAGCGGCTTGGGTAGCAGGGGCATGGGGAGAGGCAGACTTGGGGGGATGCGGAGGGACTGGGGAGGCAGGGATAGCCGGTGGGGGAGCCGGTGCAGCCGAAGAGGAACCTGCCGGAGGCTGGGGGCGCGGGGTGGGCACCGCGGAAGCGCTGGGGCCGCCTTCGGTGCCTCCACCTGGCTTGCCCTGAAAGCCGCCTTCTCGGCTGCCGTGGAAGTGAAAGGGCAGGGGGGAGAAGGCGGTGGCTCAAATCCTGCCGCTTTGTCTGACCCTTTAGTCCGGGTGCGACTGGGTGGGAGAGGAATCTCCTGCGGAAGCTTTGGAGGAGGGGGAGGGTGTGGCGCTGGGGTAGCCGTCATGTCGCTTGGCGCCGCAGGTTGTGACACAGGGTCATGCTTCTGCGTGACAAAGTGGTTTTTGAGGCCGTCCTGTCGGTTGTGCTTCCGACAGTGTAGGCAGCACAGCCACATGGAGCCTGAAACTTCCATTTGTCCCAAACCGCGAGGAATGAGCTCCAGCACATCCTGCTCCGTAAGATCTTGGTTATAATGATGGGTCTCGCGGACGGTGGCCATGAGCGCCGCAAAGGAGTTGTTCTGGATGCTGTCAGCCACTTAGGTTTCGATGTCCTCCTGCGTAGGAGGAGGAGGAGCTGAAGTGGCAGTTGCCGTGGTCTGTGACCTAAATGGCTGAGGTGAGCTGTGCTCTTCGGTGCGATCATCGGACTGGATTTCCAGAGAGATGTCGGGAAGCTGGCTCTGCAGCATGCGATCGGTTCGCTCCTTGGTGGTGGGGTCCCCCTGAAATCCCTTCAACCACTTCCAGCACCTGGTGTAGGCGACTGTAGTGTTGTTGGCTGTCACGAAGTAGTGGCCGTCGTTGTCGTACTTTTTGTTCTTCACGCGCTTGTCCCAGCGCTCCAGGAACAAATAGATGGGGCCAAACTTGGCGGAAACATTCCAGCCTGCTTGAGGGGGATGTCCAAGGTCCCGACTCAAGGTCTGCCAGAGAAATTTGCAGAAGATCATATAGTCCAGGTTCGCCTTCGCAGTCATAACCTGACGGCTGAAGGCGTGCTGTATGGCCTCCCTCATCAGAGGGTGCCTGGGCTTGCCAACTACTACTCCGACTACTGCCACTACTACTACTACTACTACTACTACTACTACTACTACTACTACCACTACCACTACTACTACTACTACTGCTACTACTACTACTACTGCTACTACTACTACTACTACTGCTGCTACTACTACTACTACTAATTATTACTACTACTACTACTACTACTACTACTATTAGTACTACTACTACTACCACTAGTACTAAACTACTACCACCACTCCGGCTGCTACTGCCACTGCCACTGCCACTCTTTTGGTTTCGGGTACTCCTACTACAAGCAGTACGGCTGTTGCAGATGTTGCTGCTGGGGCGTCTTCTGCCTGTGTCAGTGCTGCAGCCACTCTTAAATTGTGAAACTTGACATCCTGCGTGGCACAAGCCAGGCCAGAATTTCAATACTCCAGCTTCGTCAACCTTTCGGGGTTACGAGATGACTCGGTAGTGTAAAAAGCTTGATTCACCAGTTCGTACGAACTCCAAGGCAGAACTGCAAACACTAAGCGTCCAACCACCAGACCCTAAAAACTGACTTCAAGAACATTAAGCCACCCTGAACACTAAATCTCAATGACGAAAAAGCATGAACACCCGACTCCGAACCTGGGAATCACAGGGGCCGACATATGAGTAGTTGTCAAAAGTATGGTCCTTTTTTTTGGGTACCCTAAATATTAGGTGCCGTATTATATTAAGGACCCGAAAAGGGACCATAATTCTGACAACCACCCATGTTCAGCAACACGATTCCTATTGGTTCCTCGTTGCTGATCTAGAGCAATTCTATGATATACCCCAACAGTGACCCTGAAAGCAACCCTTCAACAGAATATTGTAAAGAACCCTATTGTAATTAATTTTTAAGGCCGCCATAGTTTGCCTTTGAAGGTGCTTACACTCTGACAGTCCGAAGGTCCGCTTTGAGGGGTCAGGGCCGGGGGTTTGGAGTCTGGGGTTGTGGGCTTAGTGCTCAGGGTGCACATCCATAAACTGTTCAAGACATATACAGGGCTGGGGCTAGTAGATGACATAATCATATTCCGGGCATGGCAATGCTTGAGAGACTTTGTCAGCTTACAACCAACCGCGAGCCCTCACACCCTAAACCAAGCTAGCAGTCAACGCCTCGGATGGTTCATTTTAAGCGAATTTCAGGAAACCTATACCCAAGTCCCTAAACCCTATAATCCCTAAACCCGGAACGGCTTCGAATCCAGGCTGCTTCCAAGGGTTTCCTGAGCAAGGGTTGCTTTGCATAAGGGTTGCGGTTTGCTTTCCATAAGTTTAGGAAAGAGGCCTTCATACTTAATGCAGGTGTAATTCTTAGTTTCCACTCTATCGCCGTCATTGCTGGGTTGGGGGCTTGTCAGGCGTTGGAGGGATCCTTGGACGGGCAGGGAAGTCTTGATTTGAGCAAGTTTGCGGTTACGGAATAGAGTTGCGAGTTCAATACTTGGTCGCAAGTCTATCAGCCGTAGAACCCCGTTGCCTTAGCCCCAAGCCTGCAAACCCGAGCTAATCCCCGACCAAAATTCCCAGCGAACTCGGTTGAAAATCTGCCATACCGTCAGAGCTTGTCAAAAGCCTAAGCCTATGCCCTGAAAGCCTTTACACAATTAATAACCTCTACAGGGACTCGTCGTAAACGTCCTGTACTGCATAAGACGTACAAAGCCCCTTGCGCCAGTTCTACCCCTAAGCCCCAA